CTTGCACACAACACACAGATGATAAACCTGTCCCAGAGATAGGGGCCTGTTAGAGTCAGCATCTAGTCAATGTAGGGAATGCAATTACATGTAAACACAGAATGCGAGACACTAGCCTTGATAGTAATTTAGGGAGGAAAGTTCTAGGGACTTGGGAGCTAGAATATGATAAGATTACAAAAAAACAAAACAAAAACAACAACCAAAAAAAAAAAAAAACTGTAGGGCTCCCGTAATTTTGGTTGAACTTAGGAAAGAATTTTATCTAAACCTAGTTTGAAGCACTGTACCCTTTAGTGGAGGAAAAATCATTTCCCAGGAGCCACACTGATAAAATGCATATCCAGAGAGTGGTAATGAGGAAGTTATAATATCTGTGTTTTTGGCATTAAATTTTGTATTTTTCTGCATCTGATACATTTGAAAGAGTAGCACTTATATTCTCAGGTGGTAACTCTGTGCCATGCCATCCAAAGTGCATAGAAACATTTGGATAAAGGCCACTCCCCCAAGTCTATTGAGTTTAATGTCTAGAACCCTTATTTCATTGAAGCCCATGCTTTAATCCCAACAGAGGCAAGTGGATCTCTGTGAGTTTGAGACCAGCCTGGTCTGCAAAGTTAGTTTCAGGACAGCCAGGGTTACACAAAGAAACCTTATCTTAATGTCCCCCAGCCCCCACAAAAAGAAAATATATATTTCTGAATGTTAAGTTGTATCTGCCTTACTAATATGTTAGGGAATTTGGTGTAAGCGCCATTTCAGGACAATTCTAAGCATTTTTCTCTTCCTTTAATTATTTAGATAAACAGTATTTTCAGATGGAGGCCGGAAAGGCTCTGTATTTATTTTTAAATGGAAGAAAGTAGTTAATAAAAAAAAAAAGTCATTGTTTCTCAAGTTATGGGTTTAATTTCTCTGCCTAAAAATTCCTCCCTGCTAGATTTAGACTTCCTGCAGAATTAACAGATAAGAGTCTAAAGTTAGTCCTTATCAAAATAAAGGCTTTGAGTGAATAATCTAGAAATAAGATGCAGCTCCTAAAGGGCATAAGCAACTAACATCCACACACAAGTACACAGTGCACACATATTGTACTGTAGATTAATGACAGCACATGTAAAATCACAGCAACTTTTAACCTAAAACTGTTGGCTTTTCACAGTCTGCTTAACTAGATTTTTTTATTGGTCATCTAATTACAAGGTTTTAAAATTATTCTGTTATAATTATGAATGTGTGCATGTGTGTGTATATGTGTCTGTGTATGTGCCTAATGTATGGCACACGGTGTGGGTGCCTGTGGGAGGCCAGAGGGCATTAGATCCTTTGGAGATGCAGTTACGTGACATTGTAAGCCACCCCATGTGGTTACTGGGAACCTAACGTAGGTCCACTGGAAGAGCAGCAAGCACTCCTAAGTATAGTACAAAGGATACCAGAACTATAGAGATGGCTCAAGTAAGCATCAATACATGTCTCATTTTGGTGATTTGCAAATGTCAGAAGTTACTAGAAAATGCTTAGGGAAGGGGGGACGCCTTAGGGGGTGAAAGTGCTTGCTGCACAAACATGGGAATCCCTTGCACTCTTGTTTCTTTAAAAACCAAGCATGTCCTCACATGCCTATAACCCCAGCACTGTGTGAGGCATTCTGGCTGCTGTCATAGCTGCAGACTCAATGAGAGACTGTCTCAAAGGAATATGCTAGAGAGCGATAAACCAAAAGACCAGATGTCCTCCCTTCCCTACACAATGCCCTTAGCCACATGCACCCAAATACCTTCCCACCTTTCTCCTGATACCAAGCACTTGTCTCAGAAGTAAGCATGAAAACATCCCTTGGGATGACAAGGCTCACTCCATATTACAGGCTTCTAATCTGATAATGAACACTTGTGGTCAGAGCAGTTCCCCAGCTTAGCTTGAGCCACTACTGTCCTCGATACTAGAAGACTGAAAAGCTCTCTGGGAACAGGAGATCCTGAAGTGCAGAAATGAGTGAAAAGTGTGTAACTAGACCATCCACCTGAAAGTAGGTTCTCACTGCATTTGGTTTTCTTTCCTATACATCTCCGAGTAAGTTATCCAAGGAGGATGCTGTCAAGACCCCTAAGTAGGTTCCTGGAGACACAGATAGTACCACTCCTGTGTATATGTATTCTACATCTTTTTCTAAGTGTGTATTCCTTGATTTAAAAACAAATAGTCTATAAATGAAGTATCCTAAGAGATCAGCAAACATCAATAACTGATCACACACTAAGTTCCCAAGAGTGTCTCTCCTGATATCTTAACTGTATGGTACTCTATTACTCAGCTGTGTTTGATCACAAGTAACTAGAAGCTCAGAAAGCAAAAACCTCAGATAAAAGGAGACTACTCTATTGCAAATCTTACAACAGTAAGGTGAGACATTGTGCAAAACAGGATTTTACCTCAATATTGTACATAGTTCTTTTTCTTCCTTTTCACATTTATTTATTGTACGTGGAGGCCAGAGTCCAACTTGCAAGTGTCAGCTCTGTCCTTCCTTCATAGAGATCAAACTCAGATCTTCAGGCACTGTGGTTCAGCACCTTTACCTGCTGAGCCATCTTGCTAGTCCAGGATCTCTCTCCTTACTGTGGGTGAAGAGCACATTTTCCTTTGGCTTTTTCTCCCCACTTTAACCAGTCAAGAACCTTCATTCATTCATGTGCTTATGGCAAATAGAAACTTGTAGTTGAAGAGAACACAATCTGTGTTGCCCTACAGCTTGGGTTGGGCTGGCTCCTTTGCCCAGTGCTCACAATTCTGGAGGGTGTTTCTCTGCCATAGAGGTCATGTTTCTCTCTAGCATCCAGCGATTGAAAGGCCATGCATTCTTGAGGTGCTTCCTTCCTTCTTCTGGCTCCAAGTGAGGGATGTTCTGTCTCCTTGTGCACACTGAACTTTCCATTGGCTCCTAAGACACTGGTTTTAGACCATTTTGTGTTGCTACAACAGACCCCACAGTAAGAACTATGAAGAAATGAAGCCTATCAGAATTCTGAGGGCTGAGAAGCTCTCAGATTGAGGGACAAGTGCATCAGACATGGACCTCCTTGCAGCATCTAAGGGGGATGGTTTGAGAGCAGAATTTTTCTTGTGTAGATGAGTGAGAGGAGGCAATAGGAGAGCACTAGACTCCTGGTTTTGAGAAACCCACTGTGATAACAGGATGAATATGTTTACTCACCTTCATGGCTCCACACTCCTACTTTTAGGGATCAGATTTGTAACACTTGAACTTTGGGGACACATTCTAATGGCAGAAGATCATGCTGCAGTGACATGGTAACTTTGGCAGCCCTTGTGACTAGTGTTACCTTCCATGCCATCCTTACCCTGGTGACTGAGCCCTGCTTGTCATCTAGAGCCAAACCATGGCATAAAGCTTCTGTGTCAAGGATGCTCTCTTACTGTAGCATGCCCAGCAAACAGCAAGCTGGGAACTCAGCTACTTTCCCTGCTCCCCATTGAAATTATGTAGAAATGCCTGGCCCCTGGAGGTTGTTCTAGAGCCAAGAGAGACTGTAAAGGAGAGGTGCAATGGACACTGAAGCTCCCTCGACCTAAATATGTGTCAGTTGTTAGTGTTCTGCTCTGCACATTGAAGCTCAGAACAAAATAGAGATGGCACAAGCCTGTTCCTTTATCTACCAGTTGTGTTGATGCTTTGGTTGAGTTTGAAACAGGATCTCACTCTGTAACCCAGGCTGGCCTAGAACTCACAACATCACTGAAGGTGCCCTTGCCCTGGCCTTGCCTCCTCCACCTCTGGGGTAGATTACTTATAGGTATGAGTCACCATACTTGGCTCATATATTCTGTCCTTTTGTTTTTCCAAACTATCCCACTTCTCTATACTAGGAGATCTTTGGCTTCCTTTCTTTTCCTGGAAAGGAAGGGGATCCTCTTCCACAGAATATGGGTTATCAGGACTCAAAGGCATCTCAGAATAGGAGTACATGGGACAGACATACTAAAAGAAGACACATCAAGTCAGAACTACCATCCCAATCATGGAGCATCTCTTGTGTGGTAGCTGCTGGGGATGTGATGCTGAATGGAACTGGCGAAGCTCTGTTCTTAATGGATTATGGGCATGAGCATGTGGAAGGATAGACTCCTATATAAGGACATGGAGCCAAGTGAAGACCCATCAATAAGAAAATGATTAAGTCAATTATGGAAGAGCTGTCATACAACAAATTGTGCAAAGCCTTCTAGCTGGGTTCCAGGAATTGAACCAGGTTTGCTCAGCAAGTGTCTTTACTCTCTGGTCTGGGTCCAAGATTTACACTTCCCTGCTTCTGTATTTTGAACAGTTAACCTGAAAGAGAATGAGGCTTCTAACTTTGGCTTAGCTGCTCTCAGCTATACTCATCAAGTCTGCCTCTGGAGTCTTCGTCAGACCCTATTCTGAGAGTCCATCTCTTAGGAAAAGGCATCCAACATCTTTATTCCTGCTGCCATTATCTCAGACATTCTTTTGTAGGATAGCCAACAGCCCTTCTTTGTCAAACTGTGAATCCAGACAATGTTAGAGCTATATTCATTTATTAGTAAATTTTCCAAAGACTCCCGTTACTTGGCGAGCCTGCCTAATTTCTTTCTGAATATTTTCACTGTCATACTAGACAACAGAATAAATCTCTTGCACTTAAAGCTCAAGTTTCAAAAAGGAAAACAAAGTGGTATCTGTGTCATAGAAAACAAGCTGACAACTGTAATAGTATCTTTAGCATCCTCAGCATTGATTCATAAGCTATTTCTTTTATCACAGTGTGCTGGTACCAAGGAGCACTATCTAAGAGTAACTTTAAACATCAGCTTCTCTCTCTGATCTTATGTTTCTCTGAGACCCACAGCGCTTCCTCCTGTTTCCTTAGATAAGTCAATAATATTTAATCCAATCAGAAAATTCCGTCACAGAGACTTTGAAGCCACATGTTAATGAAATTCTCTTTTTACAGATGCAAGTACTGGCATTACGATGAAAACCTGCTCACTTCCAGCGTTGTCATTGTTTTCCACAATGAAGGATGGTCAACCCTCATGAGAACAGTGCACAGTGTAATCAAAAGGACACCAAGGAAGTATTTAGCAGAAATTGTGTTAATTGATGACTTCAGCAATAAAGGTAATAATGGCTGTAGACTTGACACCTTGGCTATAAAATTCTGGCTATAAAATAAGTCAATTATAAGTATTACTAAGATGTTATATCAAAATAATTAAGCTTTTAAAAATGAAGGGAATCTACTGATGTATTACTATATTGTCACTGTGCCAAGAACTATATCTGTCATCTTATTTAACCCGAACAGTAACTTTTACAATATTATAATTACCTCTATTTTATACGGGAGGCTCAGAGAAACCACGTGACTTGCCAACAGTCACAGAGGTAGTAATTAAGTGCTAGATCAAAATCCTTGAGTTCAAGGCTGTCTTCAAGCATTGTCGTCAGATGCTGTACCAAGTCTACGGGGCTGGGATTTCACAACAGTTGAGCTATAGGAATAACTCACCTGAAGCTCCAGCCATAGCCCTCAAACGGAAATCCACGTACCTACCTCACAGACATTCGTTTTACACTTGACAATAATGCAAATTCAGAACTTTGTCTGAAATGGGAGTGCATTAGTTACTTTTCAAGTTGCTGTGACAAAATGCCCGACAAAAACACATTAAGAAGGAAAGGGTTATTTTGGATCACAGTTTGAGGACACATTGAGTGCATGGTGAGAAAAAGGAGGGAGATAAATGTTGGTGCTTCGTTCGTTTTCTTCTTTTATTCAGTCAAGGACCCACGTCAGTGGGATGGTGCTGCCTGCATTCAGAGCTAGATCCTGCCAAGTACTGCCATTAACCATCGTACTGGTCATACTAGACTAGTTTTTAAATACAGAACACATCTTCTCCAGCTCATTTTATTCTGTATCTGATTTAAAATATTAAACAAAATAAGTTATGAAGGTTTTTTTAACTTTTTTATTCTTTATGTCTTTCAATCATGCTTCTCCTCCCCATTCATTTCCCCATCCCCTTTTATCTGCCCTCTTACCCTCACAACCCTCCCCCAAAATAAAATAAAATAAAGTTTAAGAAGGAAAAAGGGGGGGAACCAATCTCATCATGGAAGCTGTAGTGTGACACACTCAGTCACACAGTAAACTCTTTTACCCATCCATCTTTACTTGCAAGTGTTCGTTGCAATAAGTTGTTGGTCTGGTTTTAGGCCTCTGGTTTCTCCTACACCATCGATGCTGGTCCTCTCTGGGACTCCTCTTGGTTTTCCTGTTGCTGCCCTGAGTCATGGAGATCCTGCATCTCTGGATCTACTGGTCTGGTCCTATGAAGGTTTTTCGTTTTGTTTTGTTTTGTTCTTTTAAGAAGAGAAAGAGAGAATGTGTGAAGACTCCTATACCCCAAGCTAGCCTAGAATTCTTTGTGTAGCTAAGGATAACCTTCGGGCTATGCCTCCACCTCCCAAGCACCTTCATCACAGGCTGCATCTGGCTTGCTCTTCCTTCTTTTAAAGGCGGCAGTTAGAGTATTTAGGAAAATGTTGTGCCTTCTTGGCTCAGCTTGGCAACAGAATAACCAACTGGTGATTTTCCTTTGTTTTTTGTTTGTTTTGTTTTGGGGTTTTCTTTTTTTAATACACACATGAGATATTTAATGTTTCCTATGTTGTCTTAAATTAAGCATTTTAACATCAACATTCTTAAAATTTGTTGACAAAACAACACACGAGTGATTTTCTAGAGAAGTGAATTTATTTTCAAAGTTAATTGTGAGTAATTTCTTTTGATACATTATTTTAAGTTAAATACGTATTCTTAATTACAGAAATGTAGAAATCCTAAGTCAGCATGCAAATGAAAGTGGCGTGTTGCTTCTTCAGTGCACATCTGCATATTTATTTATTTATGCCTGCTTGTCACAAAACAATTGAAGTTTTTGAACTGATTGAAGTGCTCAGCTACTCACTAAGAACAGGATGCTTGCATTCCGACACACAAGATTCAAGTTTGTCTGTGTAAGGTGTGACCACCAAGTCTGATGTTAGGGTTGAAGATGGGACATGAGTGCCGTGAAAATGTCTTTCAGAATAGCTTTATACAGTTTCCTAAATTGAGCTTCCTCCAGAGCGCAATTCAGAACTCTGGACGCCTGGGCAAACTTTTGCTGCTTCTTCAAGGACATGGCTAGAATGTTGATGTGCTCACATATGCTAGCACTAGAAAAAAAGGAAAATTATGACTTATTTCCTTCTCTCACTTTTTTGCCACTGATAGCTTTTTTTACAACTAATAATTTTTAATCACTCTAGATGTATAGCTTTAAATTTTTAGCTAAATTAGATATATTGAACTTAGATCTCTTACCTTGGTTGCAGTTTAATATGACAGAAATGCTTTTATCAAAAATACTCCTTTTTCTGCAAGACAAGCATTTGAAAATAGACTTCATGGGGCTGAAGGTGGCTCACCACCATCTCTCACTCCAGTTCCCGTTTATGCTACACCCTTCTCTGGCCTCCAGAGACTCATGCCATGCACTTACACGCAGGCAAGCAAACACAGTAATTTTTAAGTCATTAAAAAAAAATCTAAATCTACAAAACTACTTTCTGAATTCTCCTGCCTTGGCACTGATTGTTGGAACTTTATTATTAATATTTAATCAACATTATAAAAAGAATAGATACTTCGCCATCCTAAAATAAATTTTTAGCCCCAAAAAGAACAGGGGACCCTGATGTTTGAGGTATTTGTGCATCTGACTTTTTTGCTTCAGTGCATCTCATAGCTCTGACACTCAGGCAGGACCTGCTTACCTCACAGTAGGTGAAAACTTTTAGACTCTCCTGGAACTAGAGTCCAGAAGGTCTGTAATTAGTGATTCCAGTTTCAAAACAACATTACAATTTTTTGCTACTAACTTCAGGAAAATTGTAGTATTTGGTTAATCATGCCCGAACAAAAACTTGGCTTGCATATTGCCCCAGTAAAAAGTAAACGTTGAAGTTATAATTTTTATTTTAGAGATAAAATAATACAGAATCCCTTAAAGGATCTAAGTACTCTCTTTTTAAGATATATTTATTTATTATGCATACAGTGTTCTGCATGAGTATATGCCTGCAGTTCAGAAGATGGTACCAGATCTCATTACGGATGCTTGTGAGCCATCATGTGGTTGCTGAGAATTGAACTCGGAATCTCTGGAAGAGCAGCCATTGCTCTTAACCACTGAGCCCTCTCTACGGCCCCAAAGCTACTCTTCATAACCATTAGGCTTCTAGAAATGATAGTGTTCTCTCTTATCAAGATTGGGACCTTTAGATAGTACAGGCTCCTCCCCCATGCTGTGTATCCTCGGATGAGGCTAAAGTGGCTTCAGATGGAACATCCCCAAACGCTTAGAGGTCTGAAGCAGCTGAGGGTTTTCTCCATCCTGCCTTAGAGATATGCTGCAGCTTGGTCCTACTTTAAGGTCTGCAGTAGCCCAGGGTTTCCCTGTCACACTGGATCTCCTGTTCAGGGCATCCCTGTCCCTGCTTCTCACATGACACACCTACACAGTAGCCTCAGCTGTGTGCTGCCTACACAGAGATGGAGAAGGGGGCAGACAGGGGAATACTAGTGGACTGACTCTTAACGCTACTGTTCACAAGTGGCCCACGGTGTTTCTGCATGAGCCCGGCCACTGACTGTCACAAACCCAACTAGACATATGTGCTTTGTAGAAAAGCAGTATTCACCTAGAAAGTGGCAATGGGTACTCTGATGTCCAAATACAGTCTAACTCAGTGTGCGGTAACAAAGAAGCCATTTGTCCTGATTGAGAGTTTAAATTTACAATAAGATGGATTTAAGGTATGTATTTAAGAAACATGTCCCAAAGACAGCCCTAATAGAATTAAGAAAGACTTTAGGGAATAGTAATGTAGGACCAAGCTTTGAAAAAAAGGCAAGACTTCTTTTACAAAGAAAGAAACAACTGATTTTGAAAGGGAAAAGCCCCAGGTGGTGGCAGTGATACCTTAAATCTCAGCACTCAGGAGGCAGAGATTAGTCTGGTCTACAGATAAGAATTCTAGGACATCCAGTGCTATAAAGAGAAACCCTGCCTTAAAAAACCAAAATGAAAAGGAGGAAGAAAGAGAGAGAAGGAGGGAGGGAGGGAGAGAGAGAGAGACTAAAAAGGAAAATTACCAAATATTTTGGCAAGAAAACATAATTAAGCTTGAGAACTTTACTTGTAAGACTCATTAAAAGTTGGTGCCTGTGTGTGTGTGTGTGTGTGTGTGTGTGTGTGTGTGTGTGTGTGATGTCTTAATTCTGAAAACCCATATGGGTGGGAATCTTGTTGGTGATAAACTCCCTGATGCGGTGATATTCATCTCTAATAGCAGTGTTTAGGAGGTTGAGGGGGATCAAGAGTTCAAGTCTAGAGCTGGGGAGAGTAAGAGCAGTGGCTGTTCTTCCAGAGGACCACAGTTTGATTCCTAACAATCACATGGCTCACGTCCATTTGTAACTTCAGTCCTAAGGGCCTCCTCCATAAACCAGGCACATGGTACACATACGTGCATATATTTTTAAATGCATATGATTTTAAAACAATTTTTTAAGAGTTCAGGGCCACAGCCGGTTGGTGGTGGTGTACACCTTTAATCCAAGCACTTAGGAGGCAGTGGCAGGTGGATATCTGTGAGTTCAAAGCCAGCATGGTCTACAGAGTGAGTTCCAGGACACCCAAGCTATACAGAGAGACCCTATCTCAAAAAGGGGGGGGAGTTCCGGGCCAGCCTCAACTACATAGTGAATTTGAGGCCAGCCTTGGCTGTATGACACTCTTATCTTGAAACAAACAGAAACATTTTTAAAGCCTCCTAAAACAAGCAAACTATTAAGTATATGGTCTCCCATACCCATTTACCACCAACTCATATCTAAATACAGAAATTGTTTGGTGATTTTTGTACCAATGGGCCAGATTTTTAACAATTTTAGGACAATTTCTATGTCCTTGGGAAGTGTCTCAGCAGGACCGGGAGCTTGTTCTAGCTGGTGAGCCAATTTCCTGGGCTCACAGTGATAAACAAAAGCTGTTATTTTCCACTGGGAAGCCAAGGTGCAAACTTTGCCAATTGTGCCTGGGTTTCATAGCCTAGAATTTACTCTACTAAATTGCAAACATGTATGTATATGTAGTTATAATAATTATAATTTAATTATGCAAACACTTGCAATGTTAACCTACAGACAAAAATGGGTCTTTCGATTATTACAGGCCAATGTGGTGGCTAGCCTTCAAGGCATGACTGCCTCTTCAATGCCTCCCATGGTGGCAGAACTGTGTCCCAGAAACAGAACGTTAAGCAGCCTATGCCCTGGGTAGACTCCAGGAAATCACATAATGGAACCACCACTTCTATTTATCTGTTTACTTATTTATTTTGGTTTCTCTGTGTAGCCCTGGCTGTCCTGGAACTTACTCTGCAGACTAGGGCTGGCCTCAAACTCGCAGAGATGCTCCCGCCTCTGCCTCCCAAGTGCTGGGGTTAAAGGTGTGCGCCACTACCAGCTGAACCACCACTTCTTCCAACTGAAAAATGTCATATGTTCAGATATTTTTTAATTTTTACATCAGACATTTGTAAATGGTGATACTCATCTAATCTTCACAGGGATGCTTGGTAATTTTTATGCTACTCAATCCTCTGTAGATATATTAAGCTTACAAGTGAACTTACAACACATTTTTCCTTCCATCTTACTTTGATGTGATGGCAGAGGACTGAAGCCAGGGCCTCATAAATGCTTTGCACGTGGTCTGCCGCTGACCCACACCTCCAGCCCTTACCTTCCATCCTAACTGATTTACCAGTTGGTGTGATTCACCAGTTGGTACGATTAGTGACTGCACAGCACATCTGTAGCCAATCTTCCTTTATTTCTTGAGAAAGAAAAAATAAGTTCCTATGTAAAAGTCTACAGTGTTGGCTGCAGGATTTTTTTTTAATTCACAGAACACTTAAAGGAAAAACTGGATGACTACATAAAGCTGTGGAATGGCCTGGTGAAGGTGTTTCGAAATGAGAGAAGAGAGGGTTTAATTCAAGCTCGAAGCATTGGTGCACAGAAAGCTAAACTCGGACAGGTAGGACGTGTGTGCTCTTTACAGAGCCAGCACGTTTTGGTTTTTGAATTGTCCTTCAGTTGTGTTTTGGTTTTTTGTTTCATTTAAATGAGAATGTTAGTTTGAATGGATAATTTATATGGCAAGATTGACTAAAATGCTAGTTGACATTAGCATCTGATTTAAGTTGTGTGTGATGTATGATGTTCCATGTGAGGAGTTTTTTTTTCACCCTGCCTCTTCTTTTTAAGGTTTTGATATACCTTGATGCCCACTGTGAGGTGGCAGTTAACTGGTATGCGCCACTTGTAGCTCCCATATCTAAGGACAGGTAACATCACCTTGCTTTTTTTTTCTTTCCTAGTTGAAAAGTCACCCTTGTCCTAGCAGGACATACATACACTATTCTCTGTCATCCCAATTCCATCTAGTTGGCCAAACCTTGTGTGAGGCATGTTTCCTTGAGCTGTTTGTCCCCTGGGTGGAGCTAGTTGGATGCTTTGGGCTATTCAGCTAGTGTCCCCTTGCACAGTTGTCTTGGTATTCTGTGGCTGAGACTTCATCAAAGGATATACTAATTTCTCCCTTGAAACTGGATAAATGCTCTGAAGACTTGAAGCATGCCTTTGGGTTTCTTATGGCCCTTTAAATGATTACATGACTAAATGATTTAGATGATAATGGGCCTACTATTACTCAGTTCAAGTCTTCCTGTTCCTATGAAAACTTCCGGTTAGAAATAGCGATGGAAGACAGTGTCACCATTAATATACAGAAATGTCTAAAATACCAAAAGACGGCATCAGTCCCTACTCCCAAAAGCTTTTGTTGCTTCCTGTCTGGAATTCTAGTTTACAATCTAGGCGAATGCAACATACTCTTGTGGCAAATAGCATGGGTCAAAGGAAGAATTAGGAGACTTCTCATCAGATTGAAGATGAAGGCCCATCATAAACACCGCACATGCTGGCTTAATGGACACAGCAGCCCAGCCAGGTAGAGATGATTAGCTACACTTTGCGTAAACAGTGCTAAACCTACAAAAAGTGAATTTGCCACAAATATGATACTTAATGAACTGTTAGACAGATCTCAACGTTTCTTTACATTTCAACATTTATTTTAAATTGTGAAGAGAATGTGTGGAGAGGAAAGATAACTGACCAGGCAGTCAGCCACTGTCTCCAGGGCAATGTGGATGTCTTCCCAGCACCAAGGAAGGGCTTTCAAAGGTTCCAGTGGGAACTCCATATATCACACAGTGGCTCTCCTGTGAGTTCATGTTCAGGAAAGAAGGAAGCTCTCTTCTAGAATCCACTTCCCTCGTATCAAGACTCTGAGTTCCACAGATTTTCGTTTTCTGTGTTCTTCATTTTGAGAAACCCATTCTCAACCCTTTCTGATATGATGAACAGGGTTCCGAGTCATTGTAACAGCAACTCTGAATCCAATTGGTTACTCAATGCTAGCATTTTACAAAACCCAAATGGAAGGATTATTTATTTATTTATTTATCCTCCATATTCTTAGTTCATTCCTTAAATCCCTCAACAGATACTATAGCATCTTTCCTTGTCTTCTTTTTTTTTTTTTTTTTTTTTTTTTTTGAAGTAAAATATAGAACCTGAGGTTTTAGTTTGGTTTAAGGGAGTTGTTTTGCTTTGTAATAAAAGGAGGGAAGAAAATTAAGTGCAAGCACAGAAGGGTATGCTCGTAATAACTGCTTTCAAAGAATCAACAAAAAGTTAAAGGAAGCTGTTAGAAGTGTACAGTGGGTGTGCATACACAAAACCTTGGAGACATTCTTAATGAGGGACACAGAGAGAAAACAGCGGGCAGAAAAGTCTTCTAAATACTGCAGTTACTATGAGATAGCTGCCAGTAACACCAAGTAAAAAAGAGAAAACATTTAGCAAGCTCAGTGGCATGGCTCTGGGCCCCAGGTGTGTGTTTGGACAGCTAGGATAAACTCCCTTCCACTCTGCCCTTCCGCTAACACAGGCCTTGCCTTTCCCAAGACCTTATTTTACTCTATGCCCCCAATCAGAAAATAGTTTCCTAATGCAAAATGAAACCAGCTACAAAAGATGCCGCACTGTAGTGCTGTACTTAGGCATGCTGAACTAGTCAGTTTGGGGTTCTTAAATGCGTTTTCATTTTCTGTAAATGTTTCAGAGCTACATGTACTGTGCCTCTAATAGATTACATAGACGGGAATGATTATTCCATTGAACCACAGCAAGGTGGGGATGAAGATGGTTTTGCCAGAGGGGCCTGGGACTGGAGTATGCTATGGAAACGTATTCCACTAAGCCACAAGGAAAAGGCCAAAAGAAAACATAAAACTGAACCTTATCGGTAAAGATTATTACTTTATTTTTTTATGTTGACTGTTTACCTAAGTCCTTTTTTTTTTTCCTTTCCCTATGAACTCGTATAAATATGTGGGTCCATACATACGTTTCCATTTGATCTTGCCGCATCATCAATACAACACAGAACCATTTGCACTGTGCCGATTATAGATGTCATAAATGGCAACACATATGAAATTATACCCCAAGGGGGTGGTGATGAAGATGGGTATGCCCGAGGAGCATGGGATTGGAGTATGCTCTGGAAACGGGTGCCTCTGACCTCTCGCGAGAAGAGACTGAGAAAGACAAAAACTGAACCGTATCGGTAATCACTAAATCACTTATCTACCTCCTCCCTTTTCTCTGGCTGCTGCTAATCTATTAACCTCTTGCCACGCTAAAAACTCGCTGTAAGAACTGGAGCTGTCGTCTCAATCCTGACAGCACTTTGCTCCTTGCAGCTTCGAGGCTTTGAATTCACATTGGCTCCCATAACAGCTTTTACCCTAAATGCAAGCCCCCTCTAATGTGAATTATACTCTTTCATTGGGGAAAAAGGAATGTGGAAGGCATTAGTAATTTGAAGCATAATCAGGAAAGAAGGGAGCAGCCTTTTCCTGCTGGCTAAGGAGACCAAAAGGCAGAGTGTGTTCTATCCATTAATGCACAACTGCTGAGAGCTCAAGATTCATAGTTTGCACCTTCAAGTCTTGGGTTCAGTGTTGACAGCCAACAACACTAGCAAGAGATTTTTGGATTCTCCCTTTTGTCTTATATGCTAAAGCTCTTTTACTGATTTTGTGTCAGTGAGGTGTGATAAATACAAACAACACAGGACTTGAGAAAATGTTGTATAGAATCCTTTGTTGTTTGGTTCTCAAAAGAATGTTTGATTAAGAGAAAACTCCATTTCCAAATAAGCTTATGTCCCTTTCTTGTGGATCTTCAAATAGATCGATTGATTTTCCTATCTCCTTTTCATCTTTTAATTGGAACATTTTACAGTCTTTCCAAAAGTGACCCCCAAATGAAATGCTAGTGTAACCATGCCCGTTATGTTTACTATTTATGTATTTCTTTATTTATTCATTCATTCATTCATTCATTCATTTTGTCCTGTGGTTCTGCTTTTATTCTTTCTCCCTGTCAAACTGCTCGTGTCAGAACTCCTCGGGGAAGTGTTTTCCTGTCATGGATTTGGGCATGTTGTCACCAGGGCACTGAATGGCAAACATGAGGAAATTACAGGGCTTCAGGCTTTTACAGGACAGCTTCCAAATTTTCCGTTAAAAACTTAAGGTTCAAGATAATCTAGGAGTCCATTGCTGACCTGCTTAAGCTCACAGATCACCTAAGAGAAAAAGCAAGGGTTCCCTGCCTATCTTGGTGTGTCCAGCAGTTCCTTCCAGGAAGGTGTGTTTTGAAAGTCATCTAGGAAAGTTGGCAAGGGATCTGCTTCATTAGCTAACATGTTAAAGCAGCATCTTCAAATATGTGTGGAGGAGATGAATGGGAATATATTTGAATATATTAGAAGAGCAGTGAGGTACAATCATAATGAAACAATGTTAAATGGCAGCTAAGTAAATATTACATGAAAGTATAACCACAGTGTACCAGCTTACTGATTTAAGCAGCGTATTTTAAGAAAGGCATAAGTGAACAGCTCTTGGTGAGATTTTCTGTACTAAAAATATTAACCTGACTCATTCTCTGTGAAACATATGTTTGTTGACTGTTTATGATGCACTAGCCACTATTTTAGAGGACAGTGACCTTTTCAAATTATGTTCCCTTGCTGGACATGGTGACACCTGCTGTTAGTGCCAGCACCAGGGAAGCAGAGACGGCTGGATCCTTGTTAGGTCAGGGTTAGCCTGATCTACACAGCAAATTTTGGGCCAAGCAAAACAATTTAGTGAGGCCCTATCTAAAAAAGTAAAAATATAAATAATTAAATACGTCCTTGTGGAATGTATACTATAGTGAGTAGTACACAAATTACACATGCACACCTTTACAAGGTGGAGTCAGTGGAAATCGGTACTAGACGAAAAGCTAGTCTGATTGAGGAATAAGGAATTCTAACAGTATCGGGTTCCCTGAAGCTTAAGAATCGTAATACATTAATCATCGTTTTGTAGTAAGAAGGAATGCCCGGAATTCGGTAAAATTATTCTGCTATCATTTTTCCAATAGTGGAAGTGGCTTGAAAAGTTACCAAATGTTTTCCCTCCCTGTCCCCCTTTTCTCCTAATATGTACTGAACTTAAGATCTGAACAAGAAGTCCATGGGGCACTCTTTGGCACTATCACCTCTTGGTTCAGTGAAAGTTGATGCCCCATGTCCTGTGCCTTATCTCATTCCTGTACTACATTTGCAAAGTTGGAATGAACCGTGCTGTTTGTAGGTGATTTACACCATTATTTGGCGAGGTCTTGAGCTATAAAATTAAAAGATGTCAGACTGCTCCCATAGTTATAGTTTCACTCATCCTAGAATGACTCATAAATCATTAAAGGCGCAATCAATTGACAATGTCCAGATGGCTCTCTGTTTCAGGAGAGAAAGTTTTATCTTAATTACAAAGAAATGTTTAAACCAACAAAAGGACCAAGGCACCCTCTAGTGGTGAAATAACTCGGTAGTCTAGAGAATTTCTGAAGTTTTGGTAAATTTACACAGAGCACATTCTTTTATGAAGGATTTACAGTTTCTTAATGTTTGGCCATCAGTCTTGTCTGTTCCGTGCATTCTTGCGCTGTATTCCCAAAGGCTGTCTGTCTGTGGGTGAAGGGATGGTGGGGCTTTGTTTCTATAGTTACTGAATCAGTGTCCTTTCTTAGGTCACCTGCTATGGCTGGTGGATTATTCGCCATTGAGAGAGAGTTCTTCTTCGAACTGGGTCTCTATGATCCTGGTCTCCAGATTTGGGGTGGAGAAAACTTTGAAATCTCATACAAGGTAACATTTCACTCAAATGCTGTTTTCTGACTAGGTTTTAGGGCAAGTTGTTTGTTGCTGTTTGTGGAAGTTGGGGGAGGGAGTGGTGGTGTCTGTGTTTGTGTAGCTCTGACTATCCTGAAACTCCATATGTAGGCCTTGAACTCACAAATATCCATGTGCCTTTGCATCCTAAGAACCACCATACCCTGCCTCGTGTTTGCTTACCCAACTTTTACGACTTTCAAACAAGGCTACTTTAAAAAAAAAAAAAGTATATATAATGAATTTCCAAATTATTAAGAATGTCTCAGTAAAGCATATCCCTTAGGATAATAAAGTAAAATGATTACTTGGCTATAGAATTTGGCCCAGAATTATGGCCAACAGGCTTCAGAAATGGAAATAGCCTCTCTCCTGCTCCCAGGCTTTCTGGTCATTGGAGCCTTGGGTTACAGTAGCCCTTTGGAGGGCTGCATGTTGACTGTTTCCTGACATAGCCATCATCGATTGCTGCAGGACATAGTGGTAGAAGACAGGGAGGTCGGTCACACAGTGGAGGTGTCCTGCTTGGTCCAACTCTGCCTCGAGCCTGCCCCATTTTCAGAGATTGGCAGAGGAAGAAATTATAGTCTATCAGCGACCCAATTCTTCTTGCCTTAAATATTCTGTGTTTAGTATTGTGAGGGTTAGGCTAGAGACAGCTAATCCCTGCTGTCAAATAAATGTATACGTTAGAAATGTTTGTAAATTTATAATAAAGTGAATCCATTAAAAAAAAAAAAGGCAGAGGCACATTGAGGAAGACCCAGCATGATGGAGGTAATATTTGAGGAAGAGATGAGATACATGATTTCAATAAGCAGAGGAGGGCAAACTTCCTAAGTGTGTAGAATTAAGGGAAGGCGCAAGGACGCAGGTATGAAGGACGCATGAGCAAGCACAGAAGCAGTTGGGTGGAATAAAGAAGCATGATTAAGAAAGACACTTAAGGGGCTGGAGAGGTGGCTCAGGGGTTAACAGCACTGGCTGCTCTTCCATAGGACCCAGGTCTGGTTCCCAGCATACATATGACAGGTCACAGCTGTCTATAACTCCAGTTTCAAGGGATCTGACACCTTCACACCAATGCACATAAAAACAAATAAGGAAAGGAAAGGCACTGAAGAAAAAAATGGGCAGGTACAGTTGGAACCATACTAAAGTGTCTTCAACACTGAGTTAAGAAATCCCCCACTCCATTGTTTGATAAGGAGATGGCAACCACTGAAGACACTAAGCAAGAGGATAACATGACCCGAAGCTGCCATAATCTGTTGCTATAAATAAGGATAGCGTTAAGTAGAGAGAAGTTCAAAGTGATGAAGCCAGACAGGAGGTTATTACAGTGATCACCCAAGTAGGAGATAGATTAGCATCAGAAATGACAGGTAATGTTAGGATCGAAGGATTTATGTTACTTTGGAAGGGTCATATTGAGAAAGGGCTCCTGGATCTACACAGAAGGGAACTTGTTAATGGTAACTCATTATGTACATTACCACTGCCTTCCTTGTTGTTATATGTGTTCCTAAAGGAATTGATTATTTTAGAATTTGGTTAGCTTAGAATCCAATATGTCTAATTTAAAATTTACATTTACAGAACAAATTTTAGGTTATTTATTTTTTGCGAACAAATTTTAGGTTATTTATTTTTTGCATTTCTAATCACTTCATAATACACATTTTTTCCCTAATAGATCTGGCAGTGTGGTGGTAAATTATTATTTGTTCCTTGTTCTCGAGTTGGACACATCTACCGCCTTGAGGGCTGGCAAGGAAACCCTCCACCCCTTCATGTTGGGTCTTCTCCTACTCTTAAGGTGAGGTTTTGTTGTTAAAAGAGAAAAAGGGAAGAGATCTAAAATTCATGTAGCACTTCACTCTGAGATCATTGTCTGGGATGAATCTCTTAAACAATTATGCAGGCTCTTCACTGTGAGCCAAAGCTAGACTTACTCATGAAACATCTTACCATTCTTTCATAGTATTCATTTTAGCCTTATCTCTTCTCATGTGTGTTTTGACAAGTAAAGAGTGGGTGTGTTTATGATGTATAATGATATTTGATACACATACATTGCAGGTGGTTAAAGTCCATTTAGTTTATATACTACATAGCATGCCAACCAATGCTTATCTACTAGTTGTAGTAACTAATGTACAGAGATCACCGTAACTTGCTTCTCCTATGGTAGAAATTTTGTTCAAATATCTCCCTAGCTTTCCTACTTCCCAGCCTCTGGTAACCACCGTTTCACTATATTTGTGTGCATTGATTTCTTTTAGATCCTGTCTGTGAGTGAGCACACCTCTCTCTTTCTGTGCCTCATTTATTTCACTTACCATAAGGTCCTGTGTGTTGTTGACAAATGACAGAATTTACTTTTTTTTTTTAAGATTGGGCATTATCTTGTGCATATCACATTTTCTTTATCCACATACCAGTTGGCAGACACTTAGGTTGATTCCAAATGTTAGTCATAATGAATAATGCTTGAAAATTCTGCACAAAAATTCAGGCATCTAATTAGGAGATGGAGTCAACATCCTTAAGGAATATGCACAGACCAGAGTTGCATAGACCATGAGCCAGGTCACAGAATTGTTCTGTTTTCTTTTTCTTTCCTTTTTTGTTTGCTTGCTTGCTTGCTTGTTTGTTTGTTTGTTTGTTTGTTTGTTTGTTTGAGACAGGGTTTCTCTATGTGATAATCCTGGCTGTCCTGGAGCTCATCCTATAGAATAGGCTGGCCTCAAACTCACAGAGATCCACCTACCTCTGCCTCCCTTGTGCTAGGATTGAAGACATACACCACCACAGCCTACTGCCTGGCTTCTCTTTTCATTTTAATGGAGGAACCTCCATACTGATTTCCATATGACTATAATAATTTGTATTCTACCAACAGTTTGAAAGATTCTATTTTATCTGTGTCCTCACAGACACTTTTATCTCTTTGAAGGTAGCTGTTCCAGTGGAAACGAGGTGATGCTGCATTGCGGTTTTAACTTACATTCCCTGTGGGATTAGATGCTGAGCATCTTGGCAGGTGCCTAGCAGCCATTTGTCTCCTTTGGAGAATTCCTGTCAGGTGATTTGCCCAATTTAAAAATCAGGTTATCTGTGCCCCTACTATTTTCCTACAGTGTAGGCAGGCATTAACTCTTTAATAGGTGTATCTTTTGCAGATGCATTCTCTCCTTGAGGTGTGTCCCTTCACCTGACTGTCTTTTTAGTTTGCCGGGATCTCATTTGTGTACAAAATAGGACATAAAACTTTTCTCACATTTTCTTGTAAGAGTTTTTGTTTGGGGTCTCACACTTAAGGTTTTAGTCTGTTTTGCATTGTTTTCATATTTCCTTGAGGAGAAGGTTTAATTTTATTCTTTCCCCGGGTGGATAGCCAGCTTTCTCAACCACAATTATTGAAGGAGACTATATTTTCCCGGTTGTGTACTCTTGGAACCTTATGTGAAAATCAGTTGTGTGTGCCTGCATTTATCTCTGGCTCTCAGCATCTGTTTTTATTCCTGTACCATTCTTTGAAGTGTATTTTGAAATCAGGTAGTATAATGCCCTGGATTTATTCTTTTTGCTGGTTATTATATTGGCTATTTGGGCTCTTTGCTGGTGCCATATGAATTTTAGGGTTGATTTTTCTATTTCTCTTCTGCATTTATATATTTCAGTGGAGGTGGGGGGCACAGGAGCCTTAATCTGATGCACATGTGGAGATTGCAGGTCAGCTTATGAGATTCAGTTATCTCCTCCCACTGGGTGGATTTCACCAAGTCCAGAGACCAAACGCCAGGCCTGGAGACAAGTGCCTTTTCCCACTGAGCCATCTCACCAGCCTCTAATTTTTCAATATCTATGAAAATTATAGTTGGTATTTTGTAGATCACTTTGGGGAGTATGGTGCTACCAAAACAAAACAAACAAACAAACAAAAAAAACCCAGTCAAACAAAAAAGTAGTATTCTTGAGGAACCTCTTACATTAGTTTCCCATCCATGAACAGAGGGGATGTTTCCATGTTTGTCTCTTTTTAAAATTACTTTCAGTTTTTGAGCTTTCACTTCTATTGTTAAATGTATTCCTAAAGATTTTTCTTTGTTAATGTTTTTTTGGTATAGTGAGTTGTTCCCACTTTAATTACTATCTTTTAGCCTGAAAAAAAAAAATTAATCTGAACACTAAGTGTGCCTACTCTTGGTGTAAAACACAGGTAAGTAACTGTGTTCAACAAACCATATCCAGCCTTCTGGGGCCTGGCCACAGTTGTCATTCTATAGCAGGGCTAAAGAATTATTGCAGACATGAAACTGATTCCCTGTGTCTGTGGTGTGTGTGTGTGTGTGTGTGTGTGTGTGTGTGTGTGTGTGTGTGTTTGTGTTCACATATATAAGGATACACATGTGTAAGGAGTAAGGTTTTTCCTCCCTCTGCTGGTCTTGTTCCACCACCGTGCCAGCCCCAAATAATGCACTGAGACTCTGTATTTGATATAATGCTGTTGGCCAGGTACTAGTTTCTTATCGACTAGCTCTGTCTTAAGTATTAACCCATTTCTGTTCATCTAATATTTTCACATGGTCTCATCTTACCGGAGAATGGGGCAGGCGTCTCATCTCCCCAGTCTCTCCATCTTGAATCCTCCTTACTACTTCCTCTTTCCTTGTCTCCTAGTCCTGCCTATCTTGCTTTCCTCTTGGCCAACAGTGCTTTATTCATTAACCAGTATGTGAAACATATTTACAGAATGACATCTCCCATCACACATGGGCCGAGACTAACATTAGAAGTCTTCCTCCACGGCTTTCCACCTTATTCACTGAGGCAGGCTCTCTCACCTAAACCTAAAACTTGCCTGTACAGCTAATCTAATGGAGCCAACTCACTCCAGGGATTCTCTATCTTGCCTTCCTCAAAAGTGCTAGAATTATAGGTAGGCTGCCACTCCCATCTGGCATTTGTGTGTGTTCTAGAGATCTGAACTCTGGTCTTCATGCTGGAGTAGCAAGTGTTTCATCTGTTCAACCATCTTCCCAGCCTCTCTCATCCTCCTCTATGGAGAAAATGCTGGTGCATCATGAAGAAGACCCAAGGGGACTGGAGAGAATACATGTCCATGCAATCATATATTCACACAAGCATTCACTGGTTTGTCAAGCTCTACAAGTTGAATTTCTGTCAGTTATGACAGTGTCAATTTGTTTTATTGGTCAATAGCTGCTTTTCCTCCATGTGAACCTGTGGAAGACGTACAGTTAATTTGAGGTTACAATAAAATGATTCTATTATAGTCATGAAAAGATTCAGAGCCAGCTGCAGAGCAATTCCTTGTAATGATGGTTTCTAAAATGAGATTTTTTTCCTATACATGTCAGTAACATGGTTCCAGGAGAAAGGGATGAGATGAAAAGGAACACCACTGTCCACCCAGGCTCTCAGAGACCCTGTCTGGGCTCCGCTTTCTTCATCTGTTATCAGAATAGAATGCAGTATCTTAGAATCTATGATCTTCTAGCTCCAGATTTTATGTGCATTGCTTTTTTAAGTGAATATGCATACATGGCATTTCTGTACTTGGGAAATGACATATTAGGGTTATTAACTCTCTTATTTTCATTCTTTAGAAATGTCAAGTCTTCTCTAAATGTGTTCACTATATTTTGGTTGTATTCTGATATCTAAGGTAGGCTGTTTATGCCATCACAGTTATTTCTATATCCCATAATGACCGTAGTTTTTCTTTTCACAGAATTATGTTAGAGTTGTAGAAGTATGGTGGGATGAATACAAAGACTACTTCTACGCCAGCCGTCCTGAGTCAAAGGCACTGCCATATGGGGACATATCTGAGCTGAAGAAATTTCGAGAAGACCACAACTGCAAAAGCTTCAAATGGTTTATGGAAGAAATAGCTTATGACATCACTGCCCACTATCCTTTGCCACCCAAAAATGTTGAGTGGGGAGAAGTAAGTATCAGCCAATATTTAGGTATCAAAATGTATATATTTGGAGTCAGTATTTAGAAGAAGAAAACTGGAAAGGTATTCATGAAAGCAGGAATACTTGCAGAAATGTTTGACTAAAAAACCCCTGCAGCACACACTATCCTACTCCCAAATCATCCGAGTGGCCCTGACCATGAAGCCACCCTGCCCCACCCCAAGCTGTTATACATGTGGCTGTAGGTGAACACTCCCCATCTCCAGCACCCACTGTGTCCCTGTCTCAGCCACTTCATTCACTTAACTCCTCTCATCTTGGAGATCCTGAATACTAAAAATCATTTCTCTATTCTTCTCCGTTTCATCAAAACCACACAGGTATGTCGTGTTTCCATTGGTTCCCACAATACCCCACATTCACCCACCTTCCCAGCAATCCAGTTATGGACCTTTACCCTCATTCTGCTCTACTAGGCTAATGCAAAGACCAATGCACACGATATTCACCCAGCACTCGTCAAATGAATTGGGCGGTGGTAATAAAAAAAAAAAAAAAAAAAAAAAAAAAAAAACAGGTATTGATCAGGATGGTCACTTCCTATTTCTTCCAACTTACCTCTGTGGCATCATTTCTGATTGTCCTCACACTTGTGCCTTACAGTGCTGCCTCAGCGGTAACTGAACATGCTTTCAGACTTTGTATGTGCCTTTGTTATTATTACATTTGGTATATACTGATTGAGGTCCCCGTGTGTACCAGTCATTCGTCTGGGCAAAAATTTATGCTGGTTGGGGTGGGGATTGAGACTAGAGCAGTCCAGGAGGGCAAAGATCGTGACAAGATGGTAATGGCTACAAAGGAAGTGAGGTGCCACCTTGGGGAGGCTTTCTTAGGATGTGACATTTTTAATCTGAAATCTGGATGATAAAGACCTAGAGCTGAGAAAGAGTAGTAACAGCAGAGAAAATGTTGAATTCGAAGTTAGGAGATTGCATTAGTTCCTTTTCTGTTGCTGTGATAAAATAGCATGGCTAAGGAAACTCATAGAAGAAAGAGTTCATTTGCGCTTGTGGTTCTAAGGGCTACGAGTCCATCAAAGTGAGCAAGTGCAGGAATGGCAACTAGCATGACAGCTGGAGCAGCAATCTGGGAGCTCACATCTTGAACTGTGAGCACAAAGCAGAGAGAGAACTAGAAATGGTGAGTGTCTTTAATCTCTCAAAGCCCACCTCCAAAGACATACTTCCTCCGATAAGGTCACACCCCCTAAGCCTCAATAAACAGTGTCACCCACTAGGGACAGAGTGCAGATACATAAGCCTCTGGGGAACATTCTCATTCAAACCACCACAGAAATACTCTGCACATTTGAGAAGCAGACTAGACTAAATTTGGTGAGGTGGAATTTCAGGCATGAGACTTAGGGAGGCTCTCATCCAAAGGGTGGTAAGAGGCCCAGGGCGGATTTAAACAAAAAGGCAATGAGATTGGTTTATGTTTTGGCTTGAATTGCCTGCTGGGGGTATTTAGAATAGAAAAAAGAGTGGGGGAGTTGTAGTGAAAATAACAATGGCTTGGACAAAGGTGGCAAGAGTAAAGGTGGCAAGCACAGGACATGGCTGAGGCACACACTATCTGTAAGGAACAGTGCAGTCAGTGTGTGAAAGGGTGAGGGCTGGGATGTTTTAGTTTGCAGTTTGATAGGAGGTGGCTGAGATTGTGAGCACAGTAGAGGGTGAGTGAGGAGGTACTGGGACAGCACTCTGTATGCTGGAGTTTTGCACATACAGGATCCCATCTAGACTGCCAGGTTCAACTGCCAGCTCCGGATGATTGAAGATCTTAGCTGAAACCCAGAGGAGAGGCTTCTCTGGAGATAAACATCTGGAGACCATTAGCATGGAGTTTAATGACACTAAGGCCATGTAGGGAAAAATATAGACCATTCATAAGACTCTCCAGTGTTCAGAGTTTGGGAATAAAAAGGGAAACTCATAGAGGCCACTGAAACTACTGTCTTTGTGCTGCTTGCTTAGATGCCTTTATTTTCTTTTCTCTACTCTTATGTCATCTCTCCTGTTATAACAAACTAGCTAGTAAAACACTAGTAAGGAATGAATTTGGGTTATCCAGACCAGACTTACATTTTAATCTTCCAAAAACCCTCTGTGTGGAAGGAATTAATTCTCCCTTGACATTAGGCAGTCCACTAGCTTTAAACTCATCTTTGTGTAAATGACTATTAAATTCCATCTTAAACTCAACTCTGTCTCCCAGAAACTAGATGACTATATTCAGCCATACCCTTGATGTATTTACTTGAATATCAGTACATGAGTTTGAAACTGAACTTTCGCTGTCTCCAGCCCTTCTCGGTTCATTGCTCATACCAAAAACTTGGTAACCTTCCTTGAATCTTCTTCTCATGCTTACATCAGTTTCAGAATCTAGTCCTCCTTTACCTTCACTGAGTTTCCATCACCTCTCAGCAAAACTAACTTGCTCTTACTAAAGCCTGTTCTAAACACAGCAAGCAATCAGTATAGCTTTGGAAGTGCAATTCAGGTCCTATCACCTCTCCTTAAAACCTACAGTGGCACCCCAGTTGCTTGGGTGAAGGCAAAACCACTTCTGGTGGCTTCTCTCGCCTCACCTGCCCCTGCTTGCCTTACTCTCACTTAACTGCTTTGCCGTACCCCAGCCCATAATGCCTTCCTGTGAATGTCAGCGGGCATGGCTAACTTTAAACCTCTGTCAAGTTTTTCCATCCCTGTCCTTGATGAATTCTACCCTATGACACCATCAACTTCCTAGCCTCTTCCTTGGTGTTCTTGCTTTTCTACACACACACACACACACACACACACACACACACACACACACACACCAAGCCTGTATTACTTAGTAGCATGCTAGATATCTTATTTGCCCATTACATGTTTTGCTTCTTTTCTGCCTTTCTTTTGCTGCAAACTATGAGTTCATTTTAGCAGGTGTATCTATTTCATCCACTTACATATCAGAGACAATAGCATGCTTGCCACATGGTAGGTACCCACCTAGTATTTCAAGAATGAATAAACACATGCATACAGGAAGGAATGGATTAATGAGCCCCCCCCAGCCCCACCCCATTACCATTTCTCTTCTAAATACATCTTCCAATTCTGGTATTTCCTTTATTTCATTTCCATTGTTCATTGCATTCATCTGCTGAACATTCCAGAGTAAATCCCTATTTAGAAGATGTCCTCTGGGAAGTCTGAGTTTGCCCCAGGCAGTAGAGGCTGCTTCGTCCTCACATTCATGTCCTCTACTGACCAGCGCACCCTTCTGTCCCCCATATTTTGATGGTCCCCAGAACCATGACTTGCACATCTTCATGTATTCAAAAGGTCCTATCCCTAGTCAGTATCTACAGAATCAAGCACTTTATCCAAATACTACAGTGATGTATAGTTGAGATGAATACAAAAGTAGTTATTTCAGCACAAAATTGCATTCCAAACATGGAAACCTGTGTTTGCTTTTGCTTCCATTATTGGTAGTTAGTGGAGAGCCATACTGTACTGAGAAGCCTTGAGGCAGCTACCACAAAAGTGCCACATAGTCACTGAGAGAGGGACTCAGAAAGCAGGGTCTATCCCCACTGTAGATGTATAGCTTTCCTCTGTTTACTTCTCATTCACATGGACACTCTGGTCTGGACATTTTTCTTAGGGAATCTTGTATTTTGTTTCTTCTGTGGTATTTTCTAGCACCTACGAGCTAGTACCCTGAAGTGGAATGAGTTCATTTCAATGTTGGCTTCAGCTCCTGATTTCAAAGATGATGATGATGCTAAATCATACCTTGTTCATTGAACTTGAGAGTCTTTTACTCTGGTGCCAGTTTATTATAAACTATACTGTTTCCTGTATGTTGGTTCTCTTTCGTACCTGTAGATCCGAGGCTTTGAGACTGCATACTGCATCGATAGCATGGGAAAAACCAATGGAGGCTTTGTTGAACTAGGACCCTGCCACAGGATGGGTGGAAACCAGGTAAGTCTCCTTCTCAGGACTGGTCAGCCCTGAGAGCCACCAGACTTGATCACAGACAGACAGGTTTAGCTTGGTTTTTAGTTTATTAATATTGTCTTGATAGATTAAAAACATTCTGTAAAAGCTGACTGTTAACAGTTCACTTAAATAGGGAATATTGTCAGTGTTGGTTTTCACATAAGAGGTAGAGATGTCTGCACAGCAGTAATAATATATTCCTATGGGAACATATTTGTCATGACTAAGCCTAACCTCTATGGTTTTACAAACGCAGTTAGTAAGCCACACTTTTTTTTTTTTAATACACGGTACTAGGGTACTACTACCAGTACCATGTATTTTACACATACATTTTCTTCCTACTTTATATAAATATTTTTCATGTGTCTAATTTCAGTTTTGAAACACTATTAGGTCTACTTCTAACTTAATTTTCTTCTTGTTGGTACATGATAAGTATGTGTTAATTATCCTTTCTGTGTATTAGAGGCTAAAGAATAAAGGATGTGATTAATTTCAAAATGAGTATAGTTCTTGTCTGCAGACTAATGGCTCCCAATATGCACAAAAATTATAGAACAAAAAGTTAGTTATTCAGTTTAATTATAGCAATTACGTTTCTTTCTTTTGCAAAACATGTATTGGCAAGAAAATCATTTCTACCTTGTTTATTTATTCAATAGCTTTTCCGAATCAATGAAGTAAATCAGCTCATGCAATATGACCAGTGTTTGACAAAGGGGCCCGATGGATCCAGAGTCATGATTACACACTGTAACCTAAATGAATTTAAGGAATGGCAGTACTTAAAGGTATGCTGTGTTCCAGGCTCCGGGGATAATGTATGCAGTCCAGTTGTCAGTAACAAAGAACACGTAGGACTTAGATGGATAAATTTTGAAGACCAAATGTTCATGTTCGTGACTTGGATTTTCTGCATTAGTTATTTGTGCAGGTTTGCTTGGGCTCTGGGTGAATCACTGTTCTATAATGAGGCATCGCTTATGTTCTCTGAAGCAATGTTGTCCTGCAGTGCGACCTCTGTGGTGGGCATGGAGAGTTGGTGCTAATTTCAGAAACTCAAGAGTTCCAGTGTTCAGGAGGCCGGCACCGCCATTGTTATCAGATCTAAATCCTGTGTTAAAAATGTAAATATCAGCAGTATTCTTAGACCACACAAAAAGGAAGGGGTTGACTGCTCATGCTGACCAGCAGATGGCAACAGAGACAGGCAAATAAGAATTGGACACCAGGCCTTCCTGCTTCCTCATCCTCGGCTAACTCAACAGGAGTTGGATTGTTTGAAAGGCCTGGTTTATTCATATGACCCTGCTGGCTCTTAGATTGTCTTTCTGTTTCAGATGTTTATATTTAAAGCGTTCTGGCAAGATTCAAACATAGTCATGGATTAATGTATAATTTTCTTTGGTTCCTTCAATTGAAATACATTTCTTCCCCCTTACAGAATATATCTTAATGACACTTTCCCCTCCCTCTACTCCTCCCAGTTCTTCCATCTGGACCCACCCCCTTTCTGTCTCTTACTAGAAAACAAACAGGCTTCTAAGGGATAATAATAAAATATAGTAACAACAAAATAGAGACCCTATCACATCAAAGCCTGACAAGAGAGACCAAAAGAAGGAAAAGAGCCCAAGAGAAGGCACACACTCAAGAATGTATAATCTCTCAAAGTGTCCATTTGGATAAACCAAGCTTTTGTTTTGGTTTGGTTTAGTTTGGTTTCTTAATGAACTGTAACATTAGTAAAGCCTTTTCAAACTGAAAGCCCTCGGTTCTATTCATCTAATATTTGCTATCCCACTCCTGTTGTGAAGGCATTGTTTCTTACGTAGTAATAGTCCTAAGTGCCATCTTTCATGAATAATTACTGAACATGCCAATTACCAGATTTGATTTTGTTTTTTATTGTAATTATTTATGTAGTGTGTGTGATATGTGAGAAGAGGGACACTCACAAGCTAAGGCATACATACATAGAGAGGTCAGAGGACAGTTTTGTGGAATTGGTTCCCTCCTGCCACCTTTAAGTTGGTCTCAGGGATCGAACTCAGGTCTTGAGGCTTTGAAACAAAGTCAGCTCACAAGGTCTGAATTTTTCTTAACAAGAAGTTGTCTTTTCCAACAAATTAACAAATCCTGACAGATAGTGTTTATTTTCACAAGTAAAAATGAAGAGCAGTAAATGGTAGAGACTATGAAGACGTCAGTTTTTACAGTATAAAAGAGTCTAGCATACGGAAATTACCATCAAGGAGTCTTGAGTGGTTTTCTGGAGACTGAGGCAGAAGGATTGTGAGTTCAAGGCCAGCTTGGACTACATAGTGAGATATAGCGCATCATTCCACTGGGGTCCGGTGATGTGACAGACTATCTTAGCATGTGGGAAACACCTGAAACATGCTATTCTATAACACAGAGAAGAAAAAAAATGCAGTTAAAAACAAGCATAATGCTATCAGAAAGGGAAAAAAGACGAGGATGTAAGCAATTGCTTCTGATGAGTTTTCATAGAGAAAAACTAGATCAGCAATGATCCAGCATGAGGGTATGTACAGAGAGAAAACTGAGAACTGCATTTAGGTCACTCCCCGTCTGAACTGGCGTTTTTCTGAAGTAGGCATAGCAAACAGTGGGGACTTGTAGAATTATTCGAAAGGGATTGTCAGGTATAGCTTGATGAGAAGATTGGCTTAAACAGAGTTCTCAGACTTTCTGGCTTCCGTGTCCCCCTTAAACGCTTAAGGGTTTCCGAAACTCACTCAGTACGGTTGTGCCCCCATGTAATCCCAAACCCTGTGAGATGAAGGTAGCAAAGCTGTGAATTTGAAGCCAGCATATGCCACAATGTTGAGACCCTGTTACTTTTTTTTTTTTTATTTTATATCCCAACTTAAGTTTCCCCCTCCCTCTTCTAAACAACAATAGAAAGATACTGGCTCTTTCCTCACACAGCTTTCATGTAGGTTATTCCTAAAATTTTCTGGAATTTGAAATTAAATTGGGAGAATTTATAATCTTTTAATGTTTCCAATTATGCTAAATTCTAAATTAATACCATTTAGTAAGTTATAAAGATCTCCCAAATGACATGTTCCATTGTGCATATGCAAAAAAAAATCAGAAATAGGTTTCATTAGAGAAGTCTTTACATTGTGTCAAGTCTTCATAGTGGTGGAAAGTCAAACTTCTGATGTTTGCTTGAAAACTAGAACCAACACTATCAAGTATTTTTTTTTTTTTTGGTTGTTTGTGTTGGGGTTCTTGCTATTGCTATTGTTTTTCTTATAGTGACAGCCATTATCCAAGTTTGAATAATCGTAGTTTGTTGGATTGTTTGAGTAAAAATGGCAAGGTATGGGAAAAGTAGGTAGTCATTCCTTTCTCAAGACACCACGTGTGCTCCACCACGTCACAGCACCACGTGACAGCACTTGATTCACATTTTCTTTTTCATCTCCATGTTTTTTTAAAGGATACATGAGGGTCAATGATTAATACGCTTTGACTGGCAGTGGTGGCAATGCCTTTAATCCCAGCACTTAGAAGCAGAGGCAGGAGGATCTCTGAAGTCAGCCTAGTCTACAGAGTGAGTTCTAGGACAGCCAGGTGCTACACAAAGAAACACTGTCTCCAACCCCCTCCCCACAAGAAAAAACAAAAGATAAATAGCCTTTAACACCTTTGTTGTGGGCATCCTTCCATCAAAGTGTGTTTTGTTTGAGCTAAGTGCATGGCAGTGGCTGGTAGCACAGTTGGTAGTTTGTCATGTGTCACTGCTTGATGGGCAATAGGGCTCAGGTGCTTTCACCTGCTTTTGTTCCAATAGAACAAATGTCAAATGCGGTGCAAAGGAAAGTGAATTCATGCTTTTTCATTTGGATAGTCTGAGGACCTTTCTCTGAAAAGCTATGAGCTGGACTGAAAACATACAGCATACGATGGAGACCATATTAGAACAGGAGAGGCAGGAAGGAAGAAACATAAGGCAGAGACACCGAAAGTAGTAGCCATGGAGACCTGATATGACGTGAGTGAATGAGGGAGAGGCATATAGTTTCCTTAGGACCGGAAAGCTGGTATTGTCTTTAGCCAGAATAAGAAGAAAGACAAAAGTTCGGAGGGGAAGATAACTGCATGCCAGCAGTAGGTAGTGACATAACGATAAAAGAAAGGGCTAAGAAAACTGGCATTCCAGGCCTAATGTGTGCTTGTCCAATGTGCTTGAACGGCCTTCTGTGGCAAGCCAAGTAATAGCTTCTGATGTCCGTGATATCAGTGTCCAAATTTCAAACGTCCTTTCCCTCTCGTGTTTTCCAGAGCCTGCACAGGTTCACCCACATCCCTTCAGGAAAGTGCTTAGATCGATCAGAGGTCCTGCATCAAGTGTTCATCTCCAGCTGTGACTCCAGTAAAATGACTCAGAAGTGGGAAATGAATAACATTCACAGTGTTTAAAAAGATTACCAGAAACCAACAATCTACCTACTGACAAGTACATTTAGAGAGGACTGAACCACGCCTGGAACCTGCTGCAACCATTATTATTAATTCTGTACAGCTCCAAACCTGGAACCTCTGATCAGATCGAAGGATGTTGATAAACTGTGATTTTTACAATAACATTATCATCTGCAGTTACTGTTTACAAAACTGCTTTTACCTTAAACTCTAGATGTTTACATCATTGTTCATTTGTTTTAAGATGACATTGGTAATTTGTGCCTTTAACTCAGTTTTCAAAACAGAGTTAAAGCATATGTTGTCTTCTTTGGGAATACATACACTCAGGGGTCTGAAAGGCAGTTTGGTTTTTGTTGTTGTTCTTGTTTTTTTTAACACACTTGAAAAAAAAAAGGAGGTTGGAGTAACCAGACTTTCATATATGACTTGGCAGTTATCAACCTATTGTGTCTTTATTTAATTTTACATCTTTCTGAAGCACTGCCACAGGTCATTAGCCAAGGTGGCCTTCCTTCAGTCATGCTGCTTGTTTGAAAGGTGAATTTCAACACATTTAGTGCCTCTTTCATTTTTCAGTATATTTTTGAGAGCTTATATGGAAATTTATATGACAGTAACAATGGATGGACTGTCACCTGTATGGGGGATATTTCTATCACTCAGAAATGAATTTTTGGGCTGTCATTGACTATGAAGTTGAATGATGTATGGCTGGATGAAGAATGACAATGGGGGTCATCTCAAGGCCATTCCATAGGGCTTGATTCTGTGGCATTAACTCCATTGCCTGCTGGTGTTCTCCATGCCCTCTGCTCACACCAGCTTCTAGGCTAGCAAAGGGATCTAACGATTAAAGAAAAATTGCCCATCTACATTTTACATCTACATTCCCCAGTATCTATAGAAAACTAGAAATAATTCTCATCTTGAAACTTGAAAAGGGGTTGGGGTAATGGGGTTGACAACACAATAAAGTCTAGTGTGAACAACTTTAAAGGTTGAATCTGAGGTAAGAATTCCCAAGCCCTTGTTGGATATAAAGCCTTAGAAAACTACAGTTCAGCCTAAGCTGTGAAACCAAGATGAGCTGACACTCGGCTTCATCCAAATGAAATTCCATGCACATTGTTTTGTAATCTAAGAAAATTAGCATCTAAGAACACAGATCAACAAATGTGAACTAAGTTCCGTTAAGTCAGGTGTTTTGTTTTGTTTTTAAGTTCTTGCCAGTGAAAAGATTTAATTTAAACATTTGTTATTACCTACTTTAAGAGAGCCAAGTATTGCAAATTTTAATTTCTAAGAAGTCTTCTTTTACCCAAAATTAAATGTCCACATTGAGTGCCAAAAAAGAAAAGCAATGTGATAAGATAGGGATAGGCAAATTAAGCATTTTTGATCTTGCAATCATGGTATCATTATAATGAAAGAAATTCACAAACTACTGCCAGAAGGAAATATTTTTAATTAAAGCTTTAGAAAGAAAAAGCCTACATTTGTTTAGAAGAAAAGTCAACAATTTTTTTTTCTTTCAACCTTAGTTCTTCAGTTTGGACAATAAGAATTAAATATCCTGAGTAGAGTTTTATTTATAATTTTGAATTGTCAGTTTGTATTTTGCTACTGATCTATGATCATTTTAAACTTTCATTCATCTCTAGGTATATTTAAAAACAAATGCATTTATATACTCATATAATTGCAAATAAATCGACTATAAAAAGGAAAATAAGAAAATTGGTAATTACTTGTGTTTGAAATTGACCCTATTTTCCATGTTGAATAGATAATAACCTTGTATCTATGCATAGGCTAAGAAAGGTGGCACACAAACTGTGCACGTAATTTTATGGGTAAATTAAATTGTTTTTAGTACAATTCCTTAGGAAATTATATGAACATGATTCTATATATTAAAATCAGCAACCTTACCACACACAAAACCATCAGAAGCTGCCGCCATAATGACTGTTTTGTACTTTAGGCTGCTTTGGAAATAATCCCCATATACTTGCTTTGTAAGTTGATAATATCACTATGCATTTCTACACATTTTATAAATTTGATTTATGCAGATTTTGATACACTGTATGTTTCTGTAGAAATTGTACAAATACTCAAAATTTTATTAGGGTAAACTTGAGAAGCTTATGTATATCTTAATTCTGGATTGCTTGTTTTTTAGGTGAGAAAAAAATAAAATATTGTATTTTAATCCTTAGCTTTTCAGTACTTGTAATCATTTCTACATATAATTGTATACTTAAAAAGTTACTTGGGCTTGCTATTTACAGGATATAGGGTTAATAGCTGAAATAATACAAACTATAGTTATTAGATGAATGTGTGCCTGAGTGTTGTTTAGAATTCTGTTGTATGTGCTAGATACCTACCTGTAGATAAGCCTTTCAGGTTACTTATCTCTAGCACTTTTGGTAGGGCACACACCTAATGATAAACTACAATCTGAGGAATGGGTATATTTCTTGGCAGTGTCTACTACTATGAAATTGCCTATTGACAGCAAGAATATTTTAAGTCAAAAACAACACATCAATAAGCAGAAGCCAAGAGAGTGGAAGTCTACCAAAACAACTAGAAATAGTCCATAGGACTTTGCAAATCAAACCATATCAAAAGGTGACATGGATGCAAACACTCAAAATTAAGTGCCTACTTATAAAGACTGTCTCACAGGGACCTTAGGATTTTATTATTATTATTTCTAAACAGAGTATGATTGGGGATGGTCCTCACATAAAAGCAGGGTGTATGACGGGGGAACCCAGAGACAGCTGACCTGAGCTTGTGGGAGCTCACTGACTCTGGACCAACAGCTGGGAAGCCTGCGTGGAACTAACCTAGACCCTCTGCATGTGAATGACAGTTATGTAGCTTGCTGTTTGTAAGGCTCCTAGCAGTGGGATCGGGACCTGTCCCTAGAGATTGAGTTGCCTTTTGGTAACTTATTTTCCATGCTGGGTTGCCTCAACCAACCTTGATCCAGGGGGAGGAGTTTGGCCCTGCCTCAACTTACTATGTCATGCTTTGTTGATGCCTATAGGAGGCCTTCCCCTTTCTGAAATGAGCAAAAGGGAGGTAAGAAGGGGATGGGAAGTTGTGGTTGGTATATAAAATAAATGAAAAAATGTAATTAATATAAAAAAATTATAAACATTGCCAAAGTCCTGAAATATGAAGCATCCTCCAACTGCTCCAAATGAGCAATTTTTGTTTGTTAGTTAAGGAAAAAAATGCTACCACTTAATAAAAAAATTTAAAAAGCAGGGCACAGTGGCATGTGCCTTTAATCCCAGCACTTAGGAAGCAGAAGCAAGTTTATGTTTGTGTTCTGGTCTACAAAGAGGGTTCTGGGCCACCCAGGGCTATGCAGTCTCAAAAGAACAAAGCAAACCAAAGGAAATCAGAATAGAATTCAGTGAAAGACCAGGCTATATCTAGTCATCAGAGACCTAGATGGGCAAAAGTTTAGATACATGAAAATGATTCCACATGGATGCATCTTTAACAGTGAATGAATCTAAATAAAGAACCACACAGAAGTTTAAATGGTTTGTGTGGGCCCTTATCCTTGGGACTAGAGATTAAATAAAGTACTATTCTAAGTTGGATAGAAAATCGTTAGCAAGGTGGTGGTGGTGGTGATGGTGGTGGCAGTGGCATAGGCCTTTACTCCCACCACTCAGGAGGCTGAGGCAAGAGGATCTCTGTGAGTTTGAGGCCAGCCTGTTGTTCTACAGAGTGAGTTCCAGGACAGCCAGAGCTACACAGAGAAACCCTGTCTTGAAAAACCAACAAAAAGAAGCAGCTTGTCAAACGATTACCATGGGGAAGAAATTGTTACACCTGCCTTAGGCCAACCATACCACCTGTGTAACTGTGACTTTCAGTGGGAACTTAAATGAAGTCTCACTTGGACATTTGATAATGGTAAACTCTAGCTTTATTAAGGATTAAGTGCCCCAAATAAAACTTTCAGTAGAAAATTTGACATAGCCATTGGTATTGCACTTAACCTACTATCCCTAAACAGCATTTAAATGATAAAATACATGGGCAGCTGTGCTCAGGAACTGCTGAGCAGGCAAAGCACCATGGGCCTGGAGAGATGGCTCAGCAGCAGTTAAGAGCCCTGGCTGCCCTTCCAGAGGACCTGGGTTCAGTTCCCAGCAGCATCCACATGGCAGCTCACAGCTGTCTGTAACTCCAGTTCCAGGGAATCTGACACCCTCACACCTAACAGGCAAAATACCAATGCACATAAAAAATTGTTAAAATATTTTATGAAAAGTAAGAGACAAACACAAGATGAACCCCATGTTTACCATGTTTGTCTACCTGGAAGATAAAGAATGGAGAGCAAAAGTACTGAGCTGTTGAACTGAGAGACAGGGGCAGCACAAAGGAAAAAAGGCTGAATGCCTATTGGTGCAGTGGGCAAAGTATGACATAAGTGTGTTTCATTTTGGTTTTTCCAGACAAGGTTTCTCTGGGCGGTGGAGGCTGTCCTGGAACTAGCTCTTGTCGACCAGCTGGTCTCGAACTCACAGAGGCCTCTGCCTCCAGTGCTGGGGATTAAAGGCATACTCCACCACTGCCTGGCTTTGTTTTGTTTGTTTGTTTTATGAGGCAGGGTGTCACTATATAGCTCTGGCTGTCCTGGAACTCACTATGTAGACCATCGACCAGGCTGGCCTCCAACTCAGAGAATCTCTTGCTTCTGCCTCCCAAGTGCTAGGATTAAGGGTGTGCAGCACTACATCCAGCTAACAATCATATAATGTAATGCTGTAGAATGAAGAGCATGAATGAATTAGTCATATGATTTAGTGATACAGTATTAAGTGAAAAAGGCAAATCCTAAGGGACTTTACTCAGCATTTTTGACAGGGTTTCTCTGTGGACCAGGATGGCCTCAAACTCAGAGATCCACCTGCCTCTGGCTCCAGAGTGCTGGGATTGAAGGTGTGCACCACAACTGCCCGGCTTCAGCACATTTTACAAATATCAAAAGCAACTAAGATATTCAGCAAATTGCACACATATAAAAGTTAAATCATTTGTTCATATTGAGTTTCCTGTTGGAGTTAAGGTTAAAAATCCTGCACGGGATGCCATGTTATCTGAGACCGGCCTCAAACTTGCTGTGTGTATAGTACAAGATGACTTTGAACTTCTACTAATCATTCCACATCCATTGGTGGTCCAAGAGCTAGGATTCATAGTATGTCCCACTACATCTAATTTAAATTTTACCAAGCAGCTACATGCCCTCTTTACTGTTATCAAACCAATAAAGAACAGAGCTTTCTCAAATCTAAGCTCCTCACTACCACTGTAACTCCAACTCAAGGTATCCAAACACATACACATAACTACACATAGACACTCATTCATTTATAGTGAAATATAAATAAATCCTTTTAAAAATCTGAAAGCTAAAAACTGATCTTTCAAAACTCAAGTCCAACCATCTCTGTTGACAACTTTTCCATGGCTCCTGACATCTTATTGCAATAAGGAATCAGAACCCCACAAGGCACAAGCAAAACATATTTTAATGTAACTGATAAGTAGTCAGGTTTTGAACGTGTGTGTGTCTGTGTTTTATGCTGGTAGGTAATTGTTTTGTATAAGCCACCTTTTTCTTGGTGATGTAGAAAAGCAAAGAAATCATATATATGAATTGGTGAATGTTTATTCTCTAACTACAGGCTGGGCTTTAATGCTATCACTCAGGAGGCAATCTCTAGAATTTGAAGCCAGGTTGGTCTAGTGTACAGGCCAGCCAGGGCTTCATATAGACATTATCTAAGTGAAGAAAGGAGATTGTCTAAGTGATAGAAGGCCATTCCCAGTTCTAAAGTTTGGTGAATCAGTTTGAAACTATTGGGTACCTAAGTTATTTTTTACTTTTGAATTTTTTTCTAATTGTTGTTTTATTAGTAAACATTCATAGATGTTTTCTCTGCATGTATGTCTGTATAGTATATGCATTCCTGGTGCCCAAGAAGTAATAAGAGGCCATCTTATCCCCAAGAACTGGAGTTACACAGCTATGAACAACCATGTGGGTGCTGACAATTGAACCCAAGTCCTCTGCCAAGAGCAGCCAGTGCTCTAAACAGCTGAGCCATCTCTCCAGTACCTGACTCCCTGACTTTTCACTCTTAAGGTGAACATGCTCTTTTTCCCTCTCTCTCTCTCTCTCTCTCTCTCTCTCTCTCTCTCTCTCTCTCTCTCTCTCTCTCTGTGTGTGTGTGTGTGTGTGTGTGTGTGTGTGTGTGTGGCTTTGGAGCCTGTCCTGAAACTTGGAACCTGTCCTGAAACTAGCTGAAACTAGCTCTTGTAGACCAAGCTGGTCTCGAACTCAGAATCCGCCAGCCTCTGCCTCCCAAGTGCTGGGACTAAAGGCATGTGCCACCCACACCCAGCTAAAGTGAACATTCTAATTATGCTATTCTGCAGATTTGGTAACATGAATGAGGTTTACCAAGAGGTGATCAAGACCCAGGAGCATAGTGAGGTTCTGCAAATGATAAAAACCCAGAGACAGATATTGGGGTTCAGGTTGAATGGAGATCAGAAAGGCAGAACAGCCAAGCCACTAGAGAGTTCTCTGATCTTCAGGCAAGCTTTGTTAGGTTACAATCAAAATATCACTTCAAGGTAAAATGCCTTTTGTCATTTTTTTTTTTTTTTTGGCAGCATAAGATGCATCACAGAAGTGACATACTGGTGACCCTTGGATGGGACCTTATCTGCAAATGGCTGTTTTCTTTGATTCTAGAATGTGAATTGCCAATATTTAATTCAGAATTTAAAAAAAAAATGTGGGAGATCTACGAATTCTATACCATTTCTAGTCAACAAGACAGTTAAAAATAAATAAAAATAAATAAAATAAATAAATAAATAAATAAATAGTGGCCCTCCCATTTATCTTAACATTTGTGTATAAAATATGCACAGAACACTTTGCTAGGCAGATACAGCAACATAGAGTAAGCATCAGTGTACAGGCCTTCACAACTCATCACTTCCAGCCCTTTCCCGTCTAGCTTCTCTGCCTGCACTTCCCACCAAGCAACCAATCAGTCTCTAAAATAAAAGACTAATGTAAAACTAGCTCATTTCTACAAGTATTGTTTTACTTTTAAAACTAAAGTTTATGAAGTGCTCTAACAGTTCCTTTACTTGGGGGGGGGGGAGGATAAACAATCAGAATAAATTTTAATACCTAGAAACCAGCAAACTTGTATACAATATAATTATAAAGTAATTTCACCCATTTTGGGGACACTTATCCCCATCTCTCTTTTCCCCAAAACAATCTGTCTACTCATAGGAACATGAGGGATAACTTAAAGTTTAAATTCAACATTAAAAGAACAAAGTCTTCATAAAGTTACATCTGCCATCTTTTTTTTTTTTTTTCATCACAGCATAATCAAGTGTAAGACACAAAAAAGGGCATTAGAAAAAGACACAATGAGAAGGGAAGAGTACCAGAATCCATGTGACAGGGAACTAATTAAAATAAGCAAAGGTGGATAGGGACCTTTTGTTTGGTGTCTACGGGATAACAGTGTGTAGACCAAACAAGAACAAATGATATATGTACATGAAATTTTCATATTTAAACCCATTGCTTTTTATTCCCCCTTGAGGTTTAGTGTCACCATTAGCTATGATAAGAGATTCCTGAATTTCTAATACATTATAATGTTCCTTTACTTTTTCTTTGTTATTCCCTGAGAAAACTGTTGGGCATGGTGGCACACACCTTTAATCGGCAGGCAGAGGCAGATGGGATCTCTGAATTTGAAGCCAACCTAGTCTACAGAATGATTCCAGTACAGCCAGGGTTGTTACACAGGGAAACCATGTCTCAAAAAACTAAAAATTAAAAAGAAAATATAATTACTGTTTTGCAAAACAGTATGAAGTAATGGGAAGTCAGAATTTTTCCTCCAAGATGGGGGTTTCTCTGTGCAGGCCTGGTTGCAACTTGTAGGTCAAGAGATCTACCCTCTGGGCAGGTACTACCAGGCCCAGCTGGGAAGCCAGATTTAAGACATGTTTACTACTTACTGTAATACTCTTTAGAAACTTGGGGGGAGGGGTAGTGAGCTGGCACAGCAGATAAAGGTACTCATTGTCAACCAAGCTTGACAGCTGAGATTCGGCCAAGTCCCACATGGTAAAAAGAAAACCAACTCCATCAAATTGGACATTTACAAGCATCTTGTTCCCCATACACATGACTGAGTGTGCATACACTTGACTGAACTCAGACCATTAGGCTTGGGCAACAAGTGTTCTTCTTACCTGACAATCTTCCCAGCCTTTTTTTTTTTTTTTTTTTTTTTTTTTTAAGAAATCAGGCTGGAAAGATTGTCAGGTAAGAATACTTGTTGCCCTAGCCAAGCCTAATCAAAGCTACACAGAAAAACCCTATCTCAAAAAACAAAAAAATAAAAAACAAAGGACCATTATTTTTGGTCTTTGGCTATAATGTATTGACGATATTCAAATAAATCTGTGCGTTAATAAAGGATGTCAGCCAGGCTTTGGTGGCGCATGTCTTTGGTCCCAGCACTTGGGAGACAGAGGCAGGAGGATCTTTGTGAATTCGAGGCCAGCCTGGTCTACAGAGCTAGTTCCAGGAGGCTCCAAAGCTACACAGAGAAATCCTGTCTCAAAAAAAAAAAAAAAAAAAAAAAAAAAAAAAAAAAAAAAAAAATTATGTCAGGAGTGGAAAGATGGCTGACCCTGAAAGAGCACTGGCTGCTGCTCCTCCAGAGGTCCTGAGTTTAATGACCAGCAACCATATGGTAGCTCACAACCATCTATATATATGAGATCTGATGTCCTTTTCTGGTGTACATGCAGGCAGTAACACTGTCTAAAAAAATAAACATTTAAAAAAAAAGGATGTCAAAAGAAAGACTGACCTGTGTAGTACATATATATAATAAAACTGATCTCAAGTGCACTTCCCCCAATACACAATTTCTCCACAAAACTTAGAACAGTTAAGACGAAAGATCACTGCATAGAAAATACCCTGCAGTGTAGAAAATACTAATTATGTTTTGGAAAATATATATGTGAACTATATAACAAAGACTATGGAATTTTAAAAACTTACAGTGATGAACAGAACAGGTATTGCAAAATTGTTTGTGGCATATACTATACTACTTAGAGCAGTTTTGCCAGGCTTGAGTTAAAACAGCCCAAGAGCCATTTCCAAGTACAGGTTTGGGGGAACAAACAAAAAAAAAAAACCCCAAGTAAATGAAATTGGAAGTTAGGTCAGTACAGCACTTACCTAGCATGCATAAGGCCCTGGGTTCAACCTCTAGCAATGCCAAAATTAAAAAAAAAAAAAAAAAGGCTTGATTATTCTAAGTAGCAAACTCTATTATCTACACTAAAGCTCAGATATTCCTTATAGGGTTTTTCTCAGCATAAAGACAGCTATATCTTGATCTGTTAGAAGGGCCCCTGGCAGTGGCACTAGCTTTTGAGCCCACTCCCTATGGTGGGATACCTTGCTCAGCCATGGATGAGAAAGTAAAAAGCTTGGTCCTACCTCAACTTGGTCAACTTTGTTGACTCCCCAAGAAGGCCTTACCCTCTTTAAGAAATGGATAGTGGTTGCAAAATGGGGAAGGGGAGGGTGAAGGGGCTGAGAGGGAACTGGGGTTAGCATGTAAAATGAAAACTAAAAAGTAGCCACAGGTTCTTAAATGGGATGAGTTACAATGGGTACACTTTATGGGAGTGAACTTTTTTTTTTAAAGCAGCTGCTTTTAATTTCACTTGTATTACTTAGCTGTCACATATAAATGTGTAAACACACTATTATATTCAAAATTCCTGATTGTTATTAGCATTAAGTCTTGAAAACCCACAGCTGAAAAAGGGATATACTTACTATCCTAGCCAGGTGTTGTTGGCTCATGCCTTTAATTGAAAGATTCGGGAGGAAAAAGGGAGAGGTAATCTCTGAGTTCGAGGCCAGCCTAGTCTACAGAGTGAGTTCCAGGTCAGCAAATACAGAGAAACCCCATCTTGGGGGGGGGGGGGGACTATACTTACTAAATCTTACACACAGCTAGGGTAGGCTCTAATTGGCAATTCTCCTGCCTCTACCTTCTAACACTGGGATCACATATATGCCACCAGCCTGGTATGGTTGACCTTTAACATCTTTATAAGCTTGCAAGTACTAACTGCTCCAAGAACGACCCTATCCTCACTCAGGTCATGCTGTAACTTACTTTCAAGACTTCAATATTGGTACAATGAGCTATGGTAAGACCTATCCACCTCAAACCTCAGCAAATCTAATTAACTGTAAAACCCCATACACCTCAATATCTAATACATTATCCAAAAATCACCTAACACCTGAAAAGATTAATTACCCCATTTGGATGGGTAATTTTTACACTTATAATTAGCATAATTATAGAAATGTTTAAGTCTTATGTCCCTAGCTTCAACATGTTGCTAATTATTATGCTTTAATTTATAGTGGAAAGAAATTGACCCCTTTCTCCAAACAAAAAAAGTGAAACAAATTAACCAGCAAAAATGATCACCACAAAGCTTAACTAGGGAAAACGACTGACATGGGCCCAATCTGCATTTAAGGGGAAATGAATATATGAATGCAAACACAATGCAAGTAATATACATTATTTTATTACAAATTTTTTTAAAAAACAAAAGAAAATGCAACATCCTAAAAAAAAATTTACTGGTAATACAAATTCCTATGAAGTTTGCTGTGCTACCATAAGAAATTAAAGAAACCATTAAATATTTAGGAACATTCAACATCAAAAGCTTTAAATCTAACTGTACGTTGTAGCCCCTGAAAAAGCTACACACCTCTTTTTAAAAAAGTATTTTCTCTACAAAGAATTTTATCAGCTATACAAAAATCTGTACAGTTTTTATACTGAAGCTAATGTTGAGCTGCACTTGAATTTCACATTCTTAGCAAAATAGTTGCCTGAGCACATACACTCCACACATTTTAGGACAGCCATTTATTCTTCATCCTCCTCTTCTTCCTCCTCATCTTCATCTTCTTCCTCCTCCTCCTCTTCCTCATCTTCTGGTTCATTCTTCTTCTTTGATCCTGTTGGCCTACCAGGACCCTTCTTTCCTGCTTCACTTTTGCCCTTGGCACGGTATGCAGCAATATCCTGAAATTTTGTCAAAGTAAGATCAGCATCCGGTGTCATTGCTCAAGTGTGAAAAAAAACCACTTAATTGTAAACAACCTAAAATTGGCCAGTAACACCTCATTAGCTCGTATTCAGACTACCAGTTGAGAGCATTCCTGTTAGGCTTTAGAAAGCAAATTAGATAAAATGATGGGGGCTGCCTCAGATCAGTGTTAGTGCTTCTGCTGAAAACACCCACTGCCCTTGCACAGCCACCCCTTCCCATCTTGTATTTTTAGATTCTGCATACAGTTGGCACTCTAAAAACAGGTCAACAAAATTTTGAATGTATAGGCAGAATTTACAAGGGCTACAACACTAAGTCAAAAAAGTCCAACTTGTCTATAGTGCTAAAGTTTCATTAGGCCCTTTGAAAAACTGACAACCACTGATTACATAAATTTCAAGTTTCTACAGCTCATGTATATATATATACATATAGTTAAAAAGGTACAAAGACACTACCTTTTCATACTTCTCCTTTAGTTTAGCTGCTTTCTGCTCATAGGGTTGTTTATCTTTGGCAGACTGTTCAGACCACATCTCACCCAATTTTTTTGCAGTATCTCCAATAGACAGGCCTGGGTGTTCACTTTTGATCTTTGGGCGATGTTCAGAGCAAAACAGGAAGAAGGCAGACCTGAAAGGAAGCAACAGAGTTAACTGGAGAGAGAGGAGGCAAAGGCAAGCAGAGGCAGTCTGGTTAGTTCTGAGATCAACTTACGGTGGTCTTTTTGGAGCATTGGGATCTTTTTTCTTTCCTTTCTTATCACCTTTGGGAGGAACATAATTCTTCATCTCCCTGTCATAACGAGCTTTGTCGCTCTTGGCCAAATCTTCAAATTTCGACTTTTCCTTTGCAGACATGGTCTATGGGGGAGAGGGGGGGGGGGAATAAACGAGCAACTCAGCAAGAGGTTAAGCCTTTAGACGCCCCTAATAAAAAAATTAAACAAAATAAAAAGCATATGAATAGACCAACAAAATCTTAAGCTCTTGGCCCTAATATTAAATAAACAAAAAAGAAAATAGAGCGAGTGAACCGGCTAACTTTTAAGCTGTTGGCTGTCACATATCAACAAACGTTTTTAACATTTTTAAGATCTTGGCCGAACATATAAACATAAGTAAACAAACACAGCGAGTGGGCGGCCGAATTTTCTTCAGCTCCTGGCCCTTCTAACAAACAAGCTCTGCGCTTTGGTGATCCAACTCGTCTCCAACTGATTCCCCCACCCCGCCCCTGCCCATCCATCACCAGATCCGGCCAAGCCCGAGCTTCCCGGTTCCGCACCGAGAAAGAGCACCCCGGAAACGGCCTCAGTTGAGCTGGCCGGGAATGCCGCCTCCTTTCCTTCCCTCCCTCCCCCCACAGCCCTCCTCACCTTCCATCTCTCGGAGCACTTCTTGGAGAACTCGGCGAAGTTGACCGACGAGTCGGGATGTTTCTTCTTGTGCTCCTCGCGGCACGTCTGCACGAAGAAGGCGTACGAGGACATCTTGCCCCGCGGCTTGTTGGGGTCTCCCTTGCCCATGCTGACTGGCGGCGCGGCGTCTACCTGCGACCGAGCGGGAAAGCCGTGTCGCCGCGGCCCGCGGGGGGTGGGGTAGGGTGGGGGGGAGGAGAGGAGGAAGCGCCGCGCTCCGCTTCCCGCCCAAACCCGCGCCGGGCCGCCCCCACCCCCACTCCCACTCCCGGCGCGCGGCCCGGCTCGCCCGGCCCGGCCCACCCCGCCCGGCCCGACCCCGCGCCCCGAGGCCGAAAAGCCACCGTGCGCGCGCCGCTCCGAGCGCCCTCCTGACAGAAAAGGCCCGCGCCTTCCACGCCGCGGGCTTCACGCCGCCGGCCCCACGTTCGGCTTTTTGAAGTAAAACTAAAAATAAAAGACAAACCGCGGCCAGGCCCGAAGGCTTCCCCGCCCCAACTCCTCGGCCCCGGCTCCGGCTCCGGTCCCGGCCGCGACCCCGGGCCCTCACCCGCTAGGCCCCCGAGGCGGCCGCCCACAAGCCCGGCAGACGTCCCCCCTCACCGCGGCACGGCCCGGGCCGCCAAGCCCGAGGGCTCCCGGCCGACTCCTACCTGGCGCGAGCGCTTCCCTCCGAGCCGGACAGAGACGCTTCCTTCCCCGAGCTCCGGCGAGAACTGGCTTCTCGCTAACGCAAGCCTCAGCCTCTTGTTTTGCAGACTTCTCCGCGCCACGGCAACTTGAAGAGACCAGCCTCAGGCCACGCCTCCCCTTCGCTGATTGGCTGCCTGGATTATTCAAACCTGAAGAGTCCCCGCCCTCCCACGCAGAAGGCTTCCGATTGGCCAGAGCCTGGCAAGGTCCGCCCCTCCGGCCCCTGCCTAGCAGGTTCGGTGGGTCTCCCAGGTCGTTAACTCCCAGACCCGTTGGAACCGGTCTGGGGAGGAATGTACTGCTCGACCGTGATTGGCGGCAGAAAAAGCGTTTGAAAAATGGCGGGCCTGCCGCTGATTGGATAAGACTGTAAACAGGGGTGTGGCCGGCCCGAGAGCCGCTGCCCCGCCAGATTTAAAACTATGCAGGGCGGGCGGCGCAAGCTTCCTCGGCTGTGAAAGATGGCGGCGGGCCTGGCCGGCTCCGAGTTGACTGGCGTCGCGGGGGCCTCACCGCGACCTCCCGGGAGCTCGCCTATGAATTGACAGAATAAGAAGGGGGGGGGGGGCGGACGGTTGGGAGCGTGCGGCGCCGAGCCGGTCCGCGGCTGAGGTGGAGCCAGAGCGTGGTGGACGGGAGCCTCGGGCAGAGGCCCCGGCCAGTCCCCTAGTCCCGGGCGTCCTCCACCGCCGAGCCGCCCGAGATGAGCCGGTTCGCCACACCGCACCCCGACCCGTTGCAGGCGGGGTCGCGGGTGGGAGCCGAGGCCTGAGTGAGCGTGCCTGAGCCCACGCCCCTCACCTTGCCGGGAGAGCTCGGTCCTAGCCTGCCATTTCTACCCCGGCTTTGGGGCAGTGAATGCTCGCTCTCCTTCCCACTCTCCTGTTGGCCGGGGTGTGACCCCGCTGTCTGCACGGACTTGAAGGGTTTGTTACCCCCTCCCCAGCAGCTGCTTGCACTTGTGGGGCTCCCCCCCCCCCGTATGCTTCGTGTGTGACGGTCATTCTCAGTAGTGCTCCAGGACCAGCCGTTCTTTGCCTTTTTGATTAAAAATTAAGACTGGGAAGCTATGCTCTCCTTGGAAAATGGGTGACTGTTTAGCATTGAGAGTGTACTTAATGCCCGCAAAGTGGTCACAAGTGGTGGTTTTTACGTTTTGCCGCTATGAGAATGAGGTGCCAGTTCCTAGGGGAGAGGTGTGTTTTCCTGTTTTAAGGGTATTTTTTTTTTGTCTGTTTTTTTGTTGTTGTTTTTGTTGTTTTGTTGTTGTTGTTGTTTGGCTTTTGGTTCTTGTTTTGTTTTTTTTAAAGACAGGATTTTCCACCTAAACCAGACTGGCCTCGATCTCGGATCTTCCTGCCTCTGCTTCCTGAGTGCTGGGAATTAAAGGCATATGCCACCACGCCTGGCTCAGGTCCCAGAATTTTAGTTGTCAAATGCTTTACAAAACTTTTGTGTCTACCTGAAACCTTACATATAATGACAGTTGCAATTAATCTATAAAGCACACACACACAAATCCAAGTTAAATTCAAATAGCAATGTAAGTAAGATCACTGGTTAGATTGTGGTTTTAGTGTTTTTATTTATGTGGTTTTCTAAAGAGAATCCATAGACTGAATCTATATATAGGGAATATATTAGAATAGCTAACAGGCTGTGATCCAAGTAGGCCAACAATGGCTATCTACCAGTGGACGTTTCAGGAAAGAGCTGTTCAGTTTCACGAGTGTCTCAGCTGATCTTCAATATTCTCAGAATCCTGAAGTAGGCTCTAATGCCAGTGAAAAGACTTGCTAGGGAGAGTAGGAGCAAGCAGGCAAAGAGAGCAAGCTTCCTTCTTTCAACTTCATCACAGAGGTTGCCAGCAGAAGGTGTGGCCCCGATTAAAATTGAATGGATTTTTGCACCTCAAAGATCCTGGTTAAAAGTGGATCTTCCCACTTTTTAAATGATTTAATTAAGAAAAAGTCCCTCACAGGTATACCCAGCTACTTAGAGTTTAATTAACTCCAGATGTAGTCGACAATCAAGAATAGCCATCATGTGTTGTTCAGTATTTCTTTTAAAAGACTAAGGTATTGCCCGACTGAGGTGGCACACACCTTTAGTCCCAGCACTTTGGAGGCAGAGGTGGGTGGATCTCTGTGATCCAGGGCAGTCTCCACAGAGAAACCCTGCCTTGAAAAAAAAAAAAGACTAAGGTGTTGCCATGGCTTGGTGGTGACCCATACCTTTAATCTCAGCACTCAGGCAAATCTCTCTGTGTTCCAGACCAGCCTGGTCTACAGAGAAATCCTGTCTTGAAAAAGAAAAAAAAAAAAAAAAAAATGTCATGGAATAGATTGTACTTATAAAAAAGTTGGGCATCTATCTGTCTACCTACCTACCTATTTTGATTTTGGAGACAGGGTTTCCCTGTGTAGCTTTGGAGCCTGTCCAGGAACTAGCTCTGTAGTACAGGTTGGCCTTGAACTCATAGAAATCCGCCCACCTCTTCCTCCCAAGTGCTGGGACTAAAGGTGTATACCAACACCACTCAGGAAGGGAGGAGCTAAGGAATAATGAACTTTGAGAAATTATAAATACAGTAATACAGGATCCTAAGGTAGATACAAGGATAACGCTGACTGGCAGCTTACAAACAAATTTAGCCTTCATCCTTTGGGTAAAGGAATCACTAGAAATATAAGGGAGGGTGCAAATAGATTTTATTTTCTTATCAGTCAGCCATGTCTATGGCATGGTATAAATGAGGTCACAGAATTTAGAAATTGATTCACTAATGTTCATTCTTTTCTGTGACTCCAAAGGATAATGGTAAAAGATGTGAGTCATTTAGTTACATACACAATCTCTAATCAGTCTTTTGATGTTCACTTGTGATTAGATCACTGATTTTGAGGCTGCAAATTAGTGAGATATATATCTATAATTGAAGGGACCAGACCCTCACCAAGCCCCCTGCTTTAGCAGCAATACAGGCTGCAGAAAAGACCCAGCAAGATGTGCTGAGTTTCCTGACCTTGCCTGCCCTCTCAGTCACTAGGAGGTCAGATACCCACCACATGGCAAGGAACCAATCAGAAGTTAGCTGGCAGGCTCCAGATGTGCTTTACAGTAAAAGTGGTGTAACAAGTGACTTGCAGAGTATAGCAACCTCCCTGGGAGGACAACCAGTTAACAATCAACACACTTCTCCCAAGCCCAGAAGTGCACCAATCCTGAGACACTTCCCTTGCACACCCCAATAAATCCCCTGCCTCAAAGCCCCTCCGTATCCTTCTCACACCAGCTGCTATGTTGGATGGATGAGGTAGGGTTAAGACAGTTAACTCATTAAACAATAAAACACTCTTTGCTTTTGTACCAGAATGGGTCTCTTGGTGATTCTGAGGGTCAAAATTTGGGCACAACAAATACATGATTCCAATTGTGGTACAAGTCTTTAATCCTAGCACTCAGGAAGCAGAAGCAGGTAGAGCTCTAAATTTGAGGCTAGCTTGGTTTACAAAGCAAGTTTCAGAACAGCCAGTGCTGTGTAAAGAGAACCAGTCTCAAAAAAAAAAAAAAAAAAAAAAAAGAAAAGAAAAGAAAAGAAAAGAAAAATGTTGACAAACAGGAGCTCCAAGATTCATTTGCCAACAACCCTGCTTAAGGAAAATTATCCTAGATCCCCAAGAGGAAAAAAAAAATTCACAGGGGTAATATGTATAATTTTACTTTGTGAGCATGGGTATGTTTGTACACCTGTTCATATACGTGGAGGTGTACATGGATGTGGAGGACAATCTTCCTCGATTGCTCTCCACCTTATTCTTTGGGCAGTCTATTAACTGAACCCAGAGCTCCCTGATACAGCTAGTCTAAGTAGACAGCTCTCTCTGGGGATAGAAACCCTGTCTTCACCTTCCAAGAACTGAGTGTCATGACCCCACTCAGTATTTAAGTGGCTTCTGCAGATCTGAAACTCCAGTCCTCATGTTCAAGTGACATATGCACTGAGCCCTTCCCAGACCCAGTAGTGCCTGCTTAAAAGAATATTAAATATAAATATCTTATTTCCCTTCTTCCAATCTGTCATCTATCATCATCTATATATAATCTATCATTTATCTATATCATCTACCTTTCTATCTTGATGTTGGATATGAACCCAGGGCCACCTTTGAGGCAAGTGCTTCAACACAGATCTACACCCCACTCACTTCTTGAGTTTTTTTTTTGTTTGTTTGTTTGTTTGTTTAGAGTGTTTACCTGCACACATGTGCACCATATATAGTCCTGGTACTCCTGGAGGACAGGAGGGTCATTGAATCCTCTGGAATTGAAGTTACAGAAGTTTACAAGCAGTCAAGTGGATGTTGTGAACAGAACCTGGGTTCTCTGCAAGTACTATAAAGTGCTGAGTCATCTCTCCATCTGGCCCTGTAATTTTTTTATAGTGTGGGATTAAAATAACAAAAACAACAGCAAAAGAATGAGAGAGGTAAGATGTTGCAAATGCCTTTGTTCAGAAAGTGGTAAAAGTAAAAATTTGCATTAAAGTATAATAAGCCAAATTGCTTATGCTTTGCTTGAAGTGCTAGTTATACATATACACATGTACAAAAATGTATTTCCTTATACATAGGATTTTAAGCCTTAGTTTATGCAAGAATCAGATGACTTAATGATTACTAAGCATGTAAAAAATATACTTCCCATTATTAGTTATTACAGAAATGCAAAGTATAGCCCAATAGATACCACTCACTTCTTACTAAGAGAACTATAATTTAAAAAGGTAGGTTATTGTGGAATATTATTTTAAGATGTGTTACATTCATGCTGTGAAACATTTAATGATATGAAGATGTGTTGCATTATTTTATGTTGTATTTGTTTAACTCTGTAAAGCTGTGTTACTTTGCCTGTCTAAAACACCTGATGGTCTCATAAAGAACTAAATGGCCAATAGAAAGGCAGAAGAAAGGATAGACAGGGCTGGCAGGCAGAGAGAATAAAAGAGGAAGAAAAATCTGAGAAGAGGATGGAAGGGTAAAGGAGGAGAAGCAGCAGGAGAATAAAGAGAGGAGGACACTTG